AAACAACCTTTGGTAAAAATGACAGGTAGAATATTTAAGCTACACATTTAGGTGCTCATTTTAAACACTTGATTACATTATATGCAGTTAGTTATACATTGTATAGTAAAGTCTAATGGAAGGTTAAAAGAGGGACAGTATTTGTTACATCGTCGGATACCCACGGCCGAACCATTAACATTTATCTGCCGTGGGATTTATTGCCGATATTCAGTCGATTAGGGGTGTGTCAAAGGCAGCTATTTCATTGGCTGCCTCACGATTTCATGAGGCGTTTAAAACCAATCAAAACGCTCGTTCTGTACGACGTTCGGTATTACAAACAATATTGCGACAACCATAGACGACGTGAAAAGTTCAACATCGAAAAATTAAACGATTTCAGCAAGAAAGTATAGATAATTTACTTTTACAGCGTGATTTTTTCCTTTCTGATTGATATCTGCTTGCAGAAGAACTGATTTGGCTATAGTTTTTGACATTGATTTTAGCAAAACACGTGCAACAGTATTTAACCGTGGGCGCTGCCATTTTGTTTCTTATAGTTTTTTACCTCCGCTGCTGAAGAATATAGATTTGTTAAACGCGATGTCATTGGTAGATATTTTACGCACCTGTTGCTGTATATCGACGCAAATCGATTCATTTTACCCACGGTTGATTGCATGTTATGTGACATGTTTATCAATCGTGGGTATCCGACGTTGATTGCATGTTATGTGACATGTTTATCAATCGTGGGTATCCGACTATGTATTTGTTACTGTAAGAGATATGCATTTAATGTTTAGACACTAACACAACTTAATCTGTATCACATGATACAGACTATTTGAGATTTTTTTTACTTTTATACTATACAATATCATGTACATTTTTGTACTTTATAGTTTTCTTTCTACAAGATTATGAATTCCTGTCAATAGGATGTTATATTCATTTTTAATGGAACCTGAGAATTATTGATGTAATGTGCATACAAGTGTATCATAGTATATGGATATAATGTGTATTTCTGTATTTAAAGACTTACAGTTATGATGGATGAGACTTGCATTTAAATTTATAAATGATAGTACATGTATTGCTCTGCTGCATTCCGTGAATATATTCATGAAGATGATTTATCATGGTGCTTCATTGGATATTATAGTAAAATTATTATTGTATTTAAGGGAATATGAGCAAACGCATTGAAAGAATTTAGTTTTATTTATTTGGTTTTAAGGCCGATTTTAACACATTTCGGTCATGTCTCTACGGTCTATTCATTAGTCTTTTCTAAGGAAACTAACTTATAATTACCATTTTTTTTGCGAGAGCAGAGCTCCAGATAATTTTTTTGGCCAAGGGGTTTTTACCCCTCAAAATTTAGAGTGAGGGGTAAAATGCAAATTCTGAAAAACTTAAGGGGTAAAATCTGTCAAAAAAGCATTTTGCATTTTTTATAAACAAATTAAACTTATTGTTTTTGTTGGTTTGTTTATTTTCCTTTTTTAGAAAAACCTTTACAAATAAAATACTGATTCAATGTGAAACAATACAAAACATGCCCTGTAAAGTCAGACTTCCAGAGTATACTGGAACTCAAGTTAAGGATACACAGCAAAATTATCAGGGCTTCCATTTTCAAAATTTGGAAGTCAAAGACTTCAAAATCTCTGATATTGGAAGTCACATTATATAGGTAAAGAAGGAAAAGTATTAGATTTTCTTAAGTCACAGGCCAAAATGAAGGAGTAAATTACTCCCAAACTTGCACTAGTGGAAGCCCTGAAATTATTTTATTTTCTAGGAGTCAATATTTTTCTTTCTTTATTTCTGTTGGCCTGTACCTTATCATGTACTCCAGTTTCAAGAATTATCGTTGAAATTAGAATTAAAGAAAAATAAACAAGTTTTTTTTTTATCTTTCATTAAAAAAGTATTGGACTGAAAGAAAATTGTCCGTAACTGTAGACTAGGTACGAAAATATTAAGTACAAAAATGCAGGTGAAAAACATGTTATTTTGTTCCACAACAAAAGTGAAAGAAATTAAAATATAGTTTTGTTTATAATGAAGTATAAGCATGTCAATAGATGCCTAAACAAACTTGATACTATGTTAACTCCTACGATGATTATCTGGCACGAATTTTATCAATAATTTCACAGGTTGAAAAATATGGGAGTTACCTCCCTTCTGTACTTCCTGCTACTTTCGTTTTTAACATGCCTTGTTGACATTTCAGTGCAATAAAATGGAAATATATTGTATTTTTATGCTCAAAACATCCTCTTTCTAAATATCAAATGTTTACACTTCTATTTTTTCACGCTTAAATTTTGACATACAAGCGTATTTTCATTTTGTTGTGCGTAACTTTGACGCACGAATTTTGAAAGTGATGCGTATTTTAGATTTTCTATGCGTATTTTACGCTTATACGCACGCTATCTGGAGCTCTGCGAGAGTAACCGACAACTTATCATCCCACATGAATTTTGAAACACCTATCAGGTGTATAGCCATTAAACAAAATGCCCGGGATAAATTGTCACTAAGAAAACAGCACCCCAGCATCGAACCATTTTAAAATCTGGTCTGGAGATTATAAAAGCTTTTTCTGAGATCAGTCTCGATTCTCAGGATTTTCATTGGTCAATATATATATATATATATATATATTTAACAAATTTACCAATGAAAATCCTGAGAATCGAGACTAATCTCAGAAAACGCTTTTATATATATATTCCATGCTGGCTTTTTACCAATGAGATAAGAGTATGAGCATTGGAAATTTCTTTCTACCCTTGGTTAATGCGGTTAGCAATTTTGTTAATGCTTGCTAAAATGTAGGAAACACTTATTGGAATAAATTATTTCATTAAAAAATCTATTATTTCAAGTCCTTAGAAAGATATCGAATAGAAAAATACACAGCTAGATTTTATTTGTTTTTTTTTTGACACATTAAATATAATTTGCTACATTGGCAATTTCAGTTGAGTTCCAAGTAAAAAAAAACTACATTAATGTCAATTCATGCATTTAATGATTTTAATGGTATACCACTATATTTTTTTCAGAGAAAATGCACAGGCACGAGTATCGGACCTGGGATGAAAATATATGACCAGATTGATAATAAAACCTGTGTTCATTTTAAAAGTGTCAAAAAACCAACAAAAAAATTGTAAAAAATGACCCCCTTTAAAATATACTATAAGTTAAGAGAAGGCCGGAAACTCCAGATTCGAGCCTACGAGCAAGGGATTCATTTCCCGAGCCGTTGTGAAAACAATTGGCCAGACAATTAAAAAAGACTTTTATCACTATTTCACGTTTGTATTAAGCTTCCAAATGAGACCGACCCCAAGTCTCTAGCCCTTCCCGTTCATGAAATATATATCGGGAAACGAGCGAATTCGTGCTAAAAATCCTAGGTAGACAGAATTGCAGCACAACGATTCGGTACGTAAACATAGACTAATACATGTTTGTCAGCTGAGTACGGGTCAAAATCACTTGAATTTACTAAATAATATTACTAAATACATTAAGTTGGACCACTCACAAGCGTCAGTAGCACCTGATACACACGAGATTCGAGTTTCAAACATTTACACGGTCTTTCAATCGCTTTCTACGCCATTATGCATCCTTGTGTGAAACGTTGCGGTTTCGTTGCTATTGGCCAATCAGAAGACTCGTTACAAAATATCGAACAGCTGATTGACATTGACGTTGAAAGGAATCTAAATACTGTGGAAAGGTTTGAAATTCGAATTTTACGTGTATCAGATGCTACTGACGGGTGTGAGTGGTCCAACATAATGTATTTAGTAATATTATTTAGTAAATTCAAGTGATTTTGACCCGTACTCAGCTGACAAACATGTATTAGTCTATGTTTACGTACCGAATCGTTGTGCCGCAATTCTGTCCGATACTCGTGCCTGTGAGAAAATGGAAGTGAAAAAAAACCAAGAGAATAAAAAAACAGTATTGCCAAGATAAAAAAATAACCAACAACTGTTTATCTTGTTGACGTTAAATATAAATAATTAGCTAAGCTTGTCACATGTGATTACAACCATACTGATGCGTGACATTCTCCCCTGTGAGCATTCTATTTCATTGACTGTAATTTCACATCTGCGGATAGATAAAAAATATATACGATTGACAGAGTCAAAGCCTTTTATTCTTGTCATGAAAGAAGTAAAACATTGACATTGCTATTTCTTAACAAATTTGGAAAAAGCATTTGTCAATAATTAAATGTTGTGTAAGCAAGTTTAAAAAATTATTTTTGCACAAATAACCTTGTCGTTATATCCAGTGCAATGCATAACGTTGTATAAAGACATATCATATAATAAAAGCGAAATTAAGCTTTCCTAACAGTAAAATATTTTATCTTCAGATAAATCAGTTAATATTAATGCCAAAAACCAAAGGGATTATGGAAGAAAATGAACTTTGTAGCCGTTCATAAGCTAAAACGGTCGGGAAACAGCACTGTATCTCTAATTACCGGTCCACTCTCTATACTTAAAGTAGAAGGGCAGTCGATTCACTTCGGTGTGTGTCATGAGCAGCAAAATGTAGACAAACACTCAAATAACATATTTTCCCAATACTTTTTTCTATCATAAAGAAGTTTGAGCGTGTTTTATGTGCAGATGAAGTATAAAATGTGATTAATAGCTTGTTATATCAGAAAAAAAATAAACAATTATAAAAAATTATAAGGGTTGTGTTTTATTTTCAGCAGCAGTGTTTTGTTAAACATGTCGTTAAGTAATTTAATTAGTGTGCACTTATTTGTCACTAAAGATGTCATAAAACCATATCATGAAAAACTTGATTTTTACTCATCTAAAACTGTGGTCATTTTTATTACCTTATGGTTGTAATGTACATTTTATTTCGTTTAGTATAGGCTTCAAACCTCTTATACATTTTTAGAATTGAAATAAGAAAAACTAAAACAGTCTTTTTTTCTACAACATTTTATTACAATATATAAATCAACAACGGAATAACAAAACAAAATAACTGATACCAATTCAACATTTGCACCTGCTTTTAATTCGTATATTTTGCAGCAAAGGGATTGTCTAAATATATATATATTTGATAAAAGATATTAATATAAAATGTTATACAACAAAACATATCAATCGATTTTAAACTGCTTCAATCATTAAAAGAATTACATGACTATTCATTCAAGATAAATTCTCAAATTATTTTTGCAATCGTTTATGTAAACATAATGTTATTTGTTAGAAATTGTGAAAGTCATAACAATTTTCTTCCACATTCACAATTAATTTATAACCCATATAACTGATTTATACTGTAATAGATATATATTTATTCTTACTGCACCTGCTCAATGATTAATTTATAAAAAAAGATATTCTATTAACATACAATTTAGAATATCGTACTCTTTCATTTGTTATAAGCCTTCAGGAATTAATTAAAAACACCGTGAAAAGAATTTTTCACACACACTTTTGAAGTGACTGATTTGTGAGTTTTCTGTTTTGTATTGGCATACACATTGAAAACAGCATGCGGTTTTCTATCCAACCCCATGCAACGACTCAAATATATACAACTGCATCACGAAACAAGCTTCTGCCTAAAGAACCGTCATGCGTTGAAAGCTTATTTTGTAAATCGTTTTACTTGAAAAATTGATCGTTTTATAAAACAAGTAAAAAAGTAATAAAAAAGTTAAATTTTATGTTTGTTGACAAAGAAGAATTTCAACCATTAAAAACAAACCGTTTACACACACTCACATCCAGCACATTTGGTCAAAAATTATAAGTATAAAACCCACTTTGTTATAAAAAAAATAAACAAATCAATATTATGTTGATATAACATCTCGTTTGTTAATGACTTGCCCTGTTTTGATTTTTCAATTTTAAAGGATTTCAGAAACAAAATACAAAGATTTTTCCATTAGTATAAAGTCTGGTCAAGCAGCACTAAATTGCAGTTTCACCTGACTCTATATCTGTTCCAGGTTTAGCAGGTTTACTGAGTTGAAGCCACAATATGCCTCAGAAATGAATAAGACAAAAAACTAATTCGCTGTAAATGTATAAATTACAAAAATGCAAAACAAGCGAACGCTGTTTCAGTTATATGGTCAATGAATAACTTATTGGAAACTTAAAAAGGCACCAAAAAAGCTTTTGAAAAAAAAGCATGTTTGAAGCTTAAATGGCATTAAAATGACCTTTTCAAGATATGCTGAAATTTTATCTGAACTGGTCATTACTGTTTGGACTTATACACCAAAAAGCGAACCATTTTGTCCAAAACAACTCATTCTTTGATTTAATTTTAACAAACATCCGTTCCTATATATATGGATATTCCTACTAGTGGGTTATTCACTAATCATGTGATCATTTACACGTGATTCGTTCCATAACACAAATTATTACAAAGTCACTAAAATCCAAATGTAGGATAACACAAGACAACATAACGTTTAAGATGCAACGGTTGAACACTTCGATGATTTTTTAATACTATGAATGAAGCTTTACTAATATACCTTAAAGAAACAAAAACTATTTTAAAGAAAGGTTCTAAGGAAAATGTATCCAAGTTTCTTCGGGTGACATAACAAAATATACTTTACACTTAGATATGTTCTGAACAAAAATATGTATAAAGAATAAGAAACAGTAACAATTGTAATTAAAGAAGATTTAAATTAACTGAATCGTACCATTTCCACTCATTACATGACGCATTATAATATTTCAATAAAATTCACCAACGGAATAAAATTTAAATTACCTGAATTTTCAATGTAAAAAAGCCCTAAACCAAAAATAAGTGGCAATATTAAATGGCAAAAAACAAACGATTTATATGCTTAGACAATGGCGTTACATGATGAGAAATGAATACATTGTGATCACTAAGACAAAAATAAAAAACAAATTAATACCCTATTATACACTATAATCTTAAACTACAGAGACCTTGAAAAGTACTGATAACACGACAAACTACGCAATGTCATATTTTCAATTTTGATAAAAATTTCGTTGAAATGTAATCAAGACATTCACAATATTTCTTTGTAGCCACAATAACTGTCATTTCAACTTTGATTAAATTTATTCTTGGATTACTAAACCACCATTTTAATTTAATATCAAAGTTAAAAATTTAATTCAGAAACATACGAGCTTCAATTTTCAAACTCGTTGGTTAATTAATTATTTATAAAGTATGCTTAGTATTAATTTAAAATAAAACATTTCCTGTAGCACTTACATAATATGCAGTTTCGTTATGTTGTATTTTATTTTTATTCATTAACAAAACGTGCGAATAGGTTTACACTATTTCTAAATACCCTTTTACGACTTATAAAACATATTGAGAACATATGATACAAGTAACTCCAATCCTTATTCATGCGAGTGATTTGTAAACGTTTAAAAGCATTCAAATTTGAAGTAGAAAAATGACTGATAAAACCAATTACAAAATTATATGATGTCAAAATTCCAAATGTTTCCATTTCCAAACACATTACATCTTTAATATATAGCATTCCTGGGTAATTAGTGATAAATCAGTGTTAAAGATATATGATTTTGTACAAAATGTAATCTTGATACATATGTTTCCTCAGAAAAAACACGATGGCTAGGTTTGTCTGTTATTCTCCATACACAAACACAAAATCTCCAAAACTAAACGTTGATAGACTAAAAAAGAAACACACAAAAAATATCTTAAATTTTCCTAAACACATGTCATATAATTTTCATCTAAAATACTTTAATGTTTTCATATTATATATGTGGGCATCTTTTTTAATTTAAACATGTAGGTTAGTTACCGTTTATATGGTTAAATGTTTAATTTTAAATAAACCGTTGCTAGGGGTGTGGACGGCAGCTTGTATTGAACCCAACCGATCATGAACATGCGCGAACAAACTGAATCTACATCAATTAATTGTCATTTTTGCTTTGTTCGGCGTTTAAAAATATTTCCACTTTCTCTATTTTGAAGTGGTATCATTCAAGGTGCAAGCCCTTTTACCACCTTGTTAAAATCCAATAGAATCACCATCATATCCGTTGATTCTTATACCGCTACAAAAATATTGGAACCTTCATTTGAGGAAGCCATCAAGCAAACTTAAAAGAAGAATCAGAGGCTCCTGAAATAGTTTATGGTATCTGAGGGTTTCCTTCACAAATAAAGATACTGTAGGCAATTGCTAATCTGATATTTGATATGTTGATGTGACTGGAAACTAAACAATGAGTGAAGAAAGTAAATAAAAAAGGGCCGGAACCATCTTTCCATGATTAAAAAAACGTTTATTACGTAATTAGAGATTTTGATCTAGTAAATAAAGAGAAAGAAAAAATGTTTATTATGGAATTGGAGACTTTGATCTAGTGAAACAAGAGAAAGATAAGATAAGAAAGTTGAGAAAAAAAACAGACTTCATAAAACAATAGAAAATGCAGCAGGTTCTGTTTGACTGAGACTAAATACAGTAGAAAGTACAAGCTACCATCAACGCCCCACAGCCTCAGCTTAAACAAAATCCATCATTCATACATGGCAATGGCGAATATCATAATTTAGAAACATGCACACATGAGTTCTATTGGCGATGATCAATGTACATTTATTTAAATGAAAAAAAAAACCAAAAACAAAAACAAAACAAACAAACAAACATTACAAGTATGAAAGAATAAAGCATATAAGACATTTTGTTTGATATCCCAAATAAGGTATATATTAATTAATTTTTAAGTCAAGTACTTACCTACAATAGTGGTGGAATGCCTTTTATTTCTCAGTTTGCTCCTCTTTCTTCTCCTCCTTTAAAGTAAAATCTAACGTTAAGACAGGGATGTAAACTGACGAAATAATTGCAAATATTTTTGCATTTATAAATGACGTAAAGAAACCAAATTTATACTAAATATGTTATAAAGAAACATTTTAGTTATCATCTTATGTTTTAATTTTCATTACTCCCCTATGAAAGAAATTGGACGGTCGAGTACATTATGACACAATATATGCATGGCACAAAAAATAATGCTTACGCGTCATATTAACTATCAAATTTAACGACAGTAAACCAAATGACGTCAGGAAAATGACTTCCACTCTCAATGATAATAATAATGATAAACACATTATTTCATGAGAAATACATATGTTATTAACAATATAGCCTTTAATTAAACAGGGTAAAGAAAAGCTATAATCGGCAGATCAATGCTATATTTTATGAGCATATAAGAATGGAAATAGATATTAATTTTCTTGCGTTTATGTATAATGATACACGGTTTATCGTTCAAATGCTTTGTAATAAATCACTCCGGAATATCTAAAGCCTTCACAATAATATGACTGTTTGTTTGAACTCGAACCGTTCATTATCCTATAACAACAAAATGATATCTTAAAGGCCTAAATCAAGCACTACATTTCTGTATCTAGGGCAGCTTTATTAAAATAACTATATTTCCCCAACATCAAGCATTCACTTTTCATTTATCCTCTGACTTAACTGTCTAATAAGATGCCATAGACATAACTATCCTTAAATAAGACAACTTCACTTAGTTATCTAAGCATATAAAATCTAGATTTAAGTACATCTTTAAACATGTCATCTAGACTTAACGACCTTTTATGCATTCATGACATCTAAAATTAATTATATACAATCTGTTTAAACTGTTGATCTATTTTAGTATGAAGTTACATTTAAATACGGCATCTAGACTTAACTATGTATTTAAGCATGGAACCCAGACTTACCTATCATTTTAAGCATACTTTCTAAACTTACTCTTTATAAACATGCCATCTACATTTAACTATCTTTTTAACTATAGGATATTGACTTAACTTTACATTTAAGCCCCTTATGCAATCTAGCTCATCTATTCATTTACATAATAACTATTTAATTTTTGCATATTATCAATATTTTGCTATCTAGTGAAGTGTTGTATCTGAAAAATTGTTATACTACATAAAGACATCGTCTTAAATAATTTCCAACATAAGCCTGGTAACAATATGTCAGAACAACTCTGTGCCATTTTTGGCAATGACAATGAGTGCCATTTTTCCGTAGAAATGTGTCATACATATCATAAAATAGATTAAGTTCCCTTTATTAACCAGTTGATTAGAAAAAAGAATAGAAAATTATGCAGATAGTTACTGTTGTAGACGGTAGTGGTGGTGGCGGCTTTCTTAAACCTCTCAGGAATTGACTCCTGTCTGTACGAAAACAATGATTTACATTGACATTGAAAGCAACAACAAAAATAAAAATAAAAAAATGTGTAGAATGTTTGCTATAAGACACCCGTTCACACTTGCTTGCTTATTTTTGAAGAAAGTCTAACTGGGCAACTCTTGACCCACTTTACGGAAACAACCAGGGTACGAGGTCATACAAAAATGTTCTAAGCTCAAACTCAGATTTCAGTTATTTGATTGCTCAGAAACCGGCAAAACATTTGTTGACCTTAGAACTGAGATTTGGGACAGCTATTAGAAAAAAACACTGTTTTAACCTCGATGCCAGTACTAGTGTCATATGGTGAAATTTTAGTGATTCAAGGACAGCTCGAACTCACATTCCCTGTATTGAAAGACTGAGACCTAAATCACTTACAGCCACTGACATTGTTTCACCAATGATCTTTCGTGACATGATAAGATTTATTTTCAATGTGACTTGATCCATAATGTAAGGTCTGTTATATCATGAATGATGATATTGATAGTATTAAGTATCGTATGTGAAAGTTAACCGTGAAATAATTTTAATAGTGGGACATAACCTATTTACATACTTTTTCATATCATTAAAATATTATTATTTATAGTATAAATGTTCATTAAATATCCCAGAGAAAACCGAAAGTTTTTCAATATATTTGCTCCACGAAATATTTTATATGATCATGATACATTTGCATTGTTTTTATAAAAATTATTTGAAATAGGAGTACTTTTATTAAATGTGCCAATTGTAGACCAATCCACTTTTAGACCGACGGTCCTTCATTTATAATCTGTTGTTATGCAGTAAAATTGATTTAAAGCATAATGAAGAAAAATATGCACACATCTGTTAGAAACTGTCGTTTACTAGGATAAATGATTCAAATGATTTTGAGATAACTTAAATGTCCTTTATTTACAAGTGGCAAATGCTGTCACTTCTCTTTTCCCCACATATCTCTGTCTTATGATCGATGTAAGAGTTAAGTAAAAGTGTGAACGGGTTTCTTTGAAAACAAAATGACATGAAAGACAAATAAAAGTAAGCAGCAAAAGGATAATAATAATGCAAAAAGTACTTTGTTCCTCTTTTCTTTATTAAAATTAAAAAAGCAGCTAAAGAGCATTCTTGAAATGGAAGAAATAAAGCATAAAATGAAAATGAAATTATACCAGAATTAAGCAGCAATAAATGCACACTTGAAGAATCAAACAGAGAACTTCAACAGTGCACTTCTGAGAAGCAACGATAAAAAACAATTGAAAGACAGTAAAAATGTGTCATGCAATAATACTGAAGCATCAGTTATAAGAATATGTTCGGAGAACCTTTGTCCAAAAAAAGAAATATGTAAATACTTACCCATGTTTTCAAAATTACTGACATCTTTTGCACCAGCTGTAACAGATTAAAAGAAAAAGCTTCACTACTTTTAAATGGTTTTCATACATTAATACAATTAAAATGTTCTAAGAGAACAAATAATGTAATGAAAACTTGTTTGTATTTATTGTCAGTCTAAGCTTTCAATTATAATTCAAATAGAAAAAAAATCTTATTTTACAATGTCGCTTAAAAGTATAACACATTTACACAATATACATTTTAGAGTGTCAAGTACACTTGTAATACATATGGTGGTGGTTGGCAGTTTTCACTCCGGATCACGATAGTAAGTCACATTGAATTTACCAGAGCACAGCTCAACCACCGTACCATTCCTGTGCAGTCTGTCAAGCAATTTGCCAGTACTAGTTGTCTCCATTTCCGCAAGGAACTATGAAACATGATTTTACAATTGAAGTTATGTATACAAACGACCATAACAAAACTCGAAATAGGGAGCTCGTTTGAATTTAGTATTGCCAAAATAAAGTTTATCTGAATTCTGCTCACCCTCTTCCGTTTGTGTACCCTCTCCGGTGTCAGCGTCAGTATTGCCGACCATACTTGATGCGTCAGATCCTGAAATAAGCAATCCAATTTACAGGAAATATTTTGATATCATGCTATTCGGATGTTTGAAATTTTGACAAAAGGGAAATAATAAAATATCGATATTAGATACATGTACTTGTAAACTCTTGGAGTAAAGCACAATAGGGAGGAATGCAATAACAGATGGGACTTGAACAATTAAATAATAACTCTAATATCTAAAAAAAACAACAAAGCGAATGCATTTGAACATGTTTATATTTTTCTGTATATTTTGTATCGAAGTTAAAATTATTATCCTTTTAGCTTCGATACAAATATTCAACAATCAATATTGAATCTGATCACAAAAACTGCCATTATTGAAACTGATTATCAAATGTTACGAAAATGACGTGATTACACGCGTAGTTTATTTACTTGTTTCGAGACAAAATGCATTTATAGAAAATATTATCTATATAATTTACATTTAATAATTACTGTTTTTTTGTTGTTGTTTTTTATTCGTATTTTTTTTTTCGTGTCGAAAATACAAAATGAATATTGATATGAAACTTACCACCCAAGAGTGTCCTTGACGATTTTTCAAGTGGCACTAAAAAGTATAATGTTTGTTAAATAAAACGATTTATATTTTATAAAAAAACGTACAAAGATATACTTTGCATAACTTCAACCCACTTAAATTTCAATAAATATTTTGATAACAATTCAATTCATACAAAAAAAAACAACATTTTATTCCACAACATGTTTTCTAATCCACTGCATTTCTGTCAATAAAATGTAACGTATCCTTGAGCACATTCACGAAATTTACGTGCAAGTTGGTAAAGAAAAATATATTTATTGACTTTGGCAAATAATTTTGTATTGGAAATTTCCTAGATTGAGTGAGTTAGAATGTTTGTCTAGTATATCATCATACAAATTATAATGCATTCCTTGAAAAAGGAACATTCGAAACTTTAAAATATAAGAGTGCATTTTGAATATATATTACAATAACTTACTAAGATCTGGGTGTTGCTCAGCTAAAAGATTTACACATACAAAATATATGTGTGCATTATAATTACTATTTGAAAGATTAATAATTAAAAATATTTGTGCATTACAATTCCTGATTGACAGATTTACAACCACACAATACGTGCACAAAATAATCACTGTCGAATACATTTAAATCACTTTTGTATGGGAAGATTTTTCTGTTTTGAGAAATAATTTGCAGTGAATCTAAAATTCTGGTTAAAAAAAACAAAACAACAAACAAACACGATAACTTAAAGTGACATTATGATCATTTTTTCATTGTCATGTTTAGCCGATTTAACTATATATTTCAAAAGTTTGACTGTTATAATGATGATTGACCAATATTTGATATAAGAAAATGAACGAATTATATAAATCTTCCTATAATATAAAAAGACTTCCCTCTTTTTATAAAAATGAACGCTACAGGTTAATTCAATTGATATTTACGGAAATTCCCGTGATTTACTTATCATTTATGTGAGTATTTAAATTATTGAATTAAAAGGCATTATGGTTTTTTTTTTCACTCATTATATATCATTTGGATGGGCATAATGTCACTTTAAAAAAGGCTCTCCATTATTATGATCTTACTTCAATAAACCTGGTATTTAAAGAACAACATTTGTGCTAAGATAATCAAGGACATTAAAATTACCAGCACTGTCTGTGTTGCCAATCTCTCCTTGACTTGATTCGCCTTTAAAAAGAAACAAAAAATACAAAATTAAACTAATTCCATTTAGATATAAAGTATCAATTACTACATTGTATTTAGATTGATATAAAGTTAAAGTTTTCTTTACCCGTGGGGTGTGATATTTTTATACCGAACAAATCACTATCCAAGATTGACATCTTAAACATTGAACATCTATTAACTACAATCAGGCACCTAGTGTGACCGTATGTGTCATTTGGTAATGTTGTGATGTGACCTCTTTGACCTCTGTGTCGTCACTTAATGCTATAAATAGTAAGATATTAGGAAACCAATTGCGCTATCCTTTGTCATCTTATAAATAATAATATAATAATCGCATGAGGTATATATAATATAAAAGTACAACACATGCTTAACTGTCCAATGCTTTTAACATACCTTCTTTGTCTACACTACCCGCATTTCCTGTATCCGAAGTGCCTTTTATAAAAAAGAAACAAAAATTACAAAACTAAAATAGATCTAGTTACAATTACACTTTAAAATTGAATCATGCTAGATATTCCTGTCTGTACCGGTCTGTACTTATATTATTTACTAAATACTTGCTTCGTTTTATGAAAATTGACTAGGACTACGAGTAAAACTAAGAACAAAAGTTCGCTTAAACGTCCAATATTGACATTACATTAATTCCATCATTCCCTGTCTCTTCTTGATTTGACGTGTCTTTATAAAGAAAACAAAAAGAGATACATCAAATTCGATTGTCCATTTACCTTCAAGGAAATCGGTTGAAGCTTTTCCTCTTAACGATGTATTAAACAGAGAAATGCTGTTTGACCAACATTGTTTTAAGATTCATCAGACCGTTTTTAAACCTTTGGTGGGGCGTCCGTGGCCAAGTGGTTAAGGTCGTTTACTTCAAACCACTTGCCCCTCATCTCTGTGGGTTCGAATGCCGACAGGGACTATGGATTCTTTTATGTCAAGGAAGCTATCCAAATAGCTAACGGAACGTCGGTGGTTCTACTCAGGTGCCCGTTCGTGCCTGAAATAATGCACGGAAGGGCACCTGAGGTGTTCCTCCACCAGTAAAGCTGGAACGTCGTGATATGACCTATACTGTGTCGATGTGACGTAAAACCCAAACCAACAAAAAAAAAAAAAAAAAAAAAAAAAAAAACCTTTGGTAATTAACTTCAATTTACAATAACAGAAAACTGTATAAATCGTTTGTAACAAAAAAACATATAACAACATTAAATACAGCAGCAGCAGCATTACCACTACAACTAGCAACAACAACAAAAACGAGTAGAAAACTATTGCCTTATATAAACAGACACAACTCAATTCTCAATATTTTTTATTAAAGAGTTACTACAAATAGAAAAAATACCTGATGAAGGTTTTGGCAGAGCTGAAAACAAATGAATTTACGTACATATTTGCAATAACCAATGAAAGAATATGAGCGGAAAACAATTGTGTAATTTCCCAATACATCTTATTTTGTACACCGATATTATATCGTATAGGACTTACAGGAAAAGATCATTTTTTACAAAAGAGAAGTACGATAAAGGATTTTTCTTCACCTGTGTTTATTTCGTATTTTTTAACTTAATTCGCAATTTCAATACCCACATTAAGATCCTTGTCAGACTGTTCAGATGTTCAATCTGGTCATGTTGTATATCATGTTAGAAAAGCCGAACAGAAAATTAGGTGATGAATGAAAAAAGAAGACTTCAATTCAAAATAAACACACGTTTATAAAAGGGTTTTTATCACACACCCGTGCCGATTTTGCGACTCCGTAAATATGGTATTGCACGGCCGTGCATATATTTTGACGTGACGTCATTAGCGTTGTACAAACATAGTGTTAAGGCGCGCTAAATGTTAGCGTTATACTATAGACGCGTCAATGAAAAATGGCTCTTATTTCACTTTAAACGGTCTTTATTTTGGGTATGTGATCACTAGCATATTAAATTAGTGTCAGTTCATTAATGAATTTATTGCACTCGTTGATAAAAATAATATTATTGTCGCCAGAGGCTCGCATAATATGATTTTATTCAACTCGTGCAATAAATTCAGTATTGAACTTACACTCATTCAATATCCTCTATATAGACACTTTTGACGAACAGTTGCCATGACAATACTAGCAATATTAGACTTACTTCTCAACATTGGTATTGCTGGTCCTGAAAAATAAAAAGACATTGATTATTATTATTATTATTACCTATTTAAAATGGTACAAAAGTCTCAAAAATATTTTTAGTCCCGTCATGACAAAACTAACTAGTGGAGTCCCTTTAAACCGACGTTTTAGAACAAATTATTAAATACATTTCTTCTAACCATGTATTTCATTTATGATTATAAGACAGGTTCTTGTTCATGCTAACTATATAAGAGTAAATATAGATATGTGAAAATATCCTTTTCTTCCATCAAGTGCTATCAGACAAATTCCGGCATTTTTTAAACTGCTTCCATATATTTGCCTTTAATTGCTAGGAGCTAATTATTCTTATATATCTATACTTCTGTACTTAATTCAATTATTGACTAAAGTTACAAATCTGGACTTTAGCCGGTGAATATGATTCCGATTTAAACAGATCAAAATCGTTTTATGATCTGTATAAAAAAATGTAAATCATAGCCATAAAGCCCTTTCAATAAGAGTGAATGGGTCATTAAAATAGGATCACAAATATTTCTTATATCAAGCTGACCTGACAATATACTCTCAAGATATCAGCTAAAATATAGATAACTTTCACATACCACTTTCTTCTTCTGTCTCTGTTTTGGCTGAAATTGAAAATTAATTGCAAATTAAAAGATTTTTATGAAATAAGTATATAAATGAACAGTCAACAGCCTTATATCATACACAAAATAATTAACCTAATTCAGCTATGAATGCAACCATTTACTTCTTAATTAACAAACGTTTTCAAAATACATGCAACATTTATTTTGAATGAAGATTCACAACAGATATAATTGGACATTTCCATATGTGAAGAATATTTAGTTAAAATATTTCCAAATCATCGATTTTTCATGTGAACGTAAAAAGATAAACTACTTCAGCTATAAACAAAATCCTTGATTTCTTGAAGCGGAAATCATTTCCAGATTATATTAGTAATAATTGTCTTGTCCCTAAGGATTTTAAAAAGTTCTAAGAGTGTTCAATGCACCATCAAACTACAATGTGTATATTTCTATCATATTTTAGAATAAATTTCGTGCAAGGAGTATACAGAATATCGCAAGTCGTTTTTACATGCTTTAATTAAAATGATTTGTTCGTTGCGTCATGTAAAGATGACTGACCACGATATTTTTTTATCAAATAGATATCTCTTTGACGAAATTTTAACGCACAATATTTCTGCATATGTTTAATTGACTTGGTTAGATTTGAATAAAAGTCAATTGTCATCAACAAGGGCGTTCACGTGAAAATAATGAAATATGATATTCGAATGGACCTTTGTCTGAAAATATGGATTGCCCGGCTGTAAATGTATTACAACTGTTTATATTCAAAGTATAAAACAAATTTGATTAAATTAATACCTTAATAAACAAATTCACTTTGTTAAACCTTGTTGGGTTACTTTTACAAATCTTTAAAGCAACATAATTACCATCAAAATATTCTATAATTTTGCTTTATCGCATAACAACATCTTTCTTTAAACACATGAGTGAATAGTCAGGCTTATAATTTGTTTTTAATGGTTTAACGACATATATTTTACCTGGTGGTAGGGGTCCCGCTGGAAAAAGAAAAACATAATGGTGAGTATTTAGTTACCAATAGGTTCAGCAAAATCTTTGAGCAGTGCAAAACACAGGTCAATCCAATATTTTACTTTGGGAAATCAAAATCTCAAACAAAAAAGTATTAGCAAACAATAGAATGTAAACGTTAATATTAAGTCAAATAAAATGTAGAGCCACAACCAAAGGGTCCGTACTCTCAGTGCCTAAAAGGGTGGATGAACCCTCACTCATTAAGCCTTGCATACACACATGCCCACACGCAAACACACACGCACATCAACACACACGCAAGCATGCTTACAAACATAGCCACAACCAAATTATTTAAAGTTGAACTGAAATTTTAGGATTGAAGCAGTACAGGATGCATGTATGGTTCGTCGAACAAATCAGTATCAAGATGTGTAAATGATAAGATCAATACAAATTACCACAAAGATGACACATTTTTAAGTGTAAGCTGTTCAATATCAAATTGTCGAGAATAAATTATGATGGACTTTGCGTAGGATAAAATACAAAGGAAGGGTCTAAATACAAATACAAGACATTTATATAGCGCAAAAAATGTATTAAATATTCAATTGCGCTGTACAGTATTAAGACTATATGCACATAATAATTATGCTTGATCAAGACACTCCCAAACCCAGTCTCGATGGCACAGCCAATCTACAACTCTAGTTGAAAAACAGTCCAATAGATCGGAATTATTTTAGTGTGAATTATTATCTGTTTCAGCTTTATAACATACACATTTACAAGACTTTCATTACCTCTTAATAGCGGTCCAGTTGGTTCATCTGAAAACATAAATGAGCCGTGTCACGACAAAACCAACATAGTGCGTTTGCGACCAGCATGAATCCAGACCAGCCTGCACATCCGCGCAGTCTGATCAGGATCCATGCTGTTCGCTATTAGTTTCTCTACTTGTAATAAGGTTTGTAAGCGAACAGTATGGATCCTGATCAGACTGCGCGGATGCGCAGGCTGGTCTGGATCGATGCTGGTCGCAAACGCACTATGTTAGTTTTGTCGTGACGCGGCTCAAATATTAACACGATGTTATCACGTGGTAGTACATCCGGGCCGCGAAAATACAACAATGCGACAAAAGTAAAATTAAATAATATTTTAATGCAAAAATGTGACAATTCAAAATGCGAAAATGTAACAATAATAAAATGCTAAAATTAATATACACGAAGGAACGGAAATGTGTCTTTGTGATTCAACACAAACACACAAAATACAGTAAAAGTGCCTGTTATATTAGATTTCACTTGTGAATGATACATTTCTTAGAAAAACAATCTTTGATATCACAAAGATATTATCTATGCTTCAATTTTCTTTAAACTGTTCACATAAAATACCCTTGTCAGAAGGTTTGACTATATTACAATAATTTCAACTTACCTGAACCTGTTTCTCCTGTAAAATTAAATAAACATGATTGATTAAACTTACGTATCATTGTTATCATTATTTAAGCTATGTTCATCAATAAAAGTATCAAAGTATGTACAAATATCTAAGTCATAATTTTCATCTACATTGTATATTCAAACACACAAGTATTATCTTAAGATAATCATTAGACAACAAAAACTAGAATTGCTTAAATATCGTATGAGTTGGACTATCGATATCGGTCTGTGCAAGTGAAAGCATCTAGCATCTTTGTCAATGTAAAGCTTGTCTTTGTGAAGTTTTTTCCCCAATTTCTATGCAATTACGAGACTTACAGGCATCTTTTATTGACCTGTACACATTTGAGCCGCGTCACGACAAAACCAACATAATGGGTTTGCGACCAGCATGGATCCAGACCAGCCTGCGCATCCGCGAAGTCTGATCAGGATCTTTGCTGTTCGCTCACCAACCCTATAACAAGTAGAGAAACTGATAGCGAACAGCATGGATTATGATCAGTCTGCGCGGATCCATGCTGGTCGCAAACGCACTATGTTGGTTTTTCGTTAACGCAGCTCATTTTTAAATTCATTGCCTCCACATCGATGCAGTTGCATAACATACTAGATTGTTGCCATAAATATTACAAATATCATTCTGAACATTTATATTTACATTAATAGCATAATTTTGTAAGTGAAATGCAATTATTTATATAAAAGGTAATGCTAGTAGGTTATGAAATGCAAATTGTATCATTTTTTTTCTTCTCTAGCTTAGCTATATTCGACAGCTTATGTTGCATCTACATCATTATAAGTCGAAACATTTTTATGAAAACAACAAACAAACAATAAAATGTTTCAGCTGATTTACAACTTAACTAAAAAGGATTACTAGTAAAATGTAACACGGAATGTAAAATTCTATCATGTTAACCTTTTACCTCTAAAGGTGACCTTGACCTTGGAGGTAGGGGTGCAAGTGTTGTGCATGACATATCATCTAATTAATATTACTATTTGTGTCAAGTATTTTCAAAATCCCTTGAACTATGTAGAAGTTATAGATAGGACACAAAATATACCCTTTAACAGACTATGTCAATCTTTGACCTCTAAGTGTGACCTTGGAGGTAGGGACCCATGTTTTGCGCCTGACATATCATCTTATTATTGTGATTATTTGTGCAAAGTATTTTTAAAATTCCAAGTTATGGACTGGACACAAAATATATCCTATAACAGAGTTTGTAAATGTTTGACCTCTATGTGTGACCTTGACCTTGGAGGTAGGGACACATGTGTTATGCATGACATATCATCTTATCATTGTGACTTAATGTGCCAAGTATTTTCAAAATCCCTTGATCTATGAAGAAGTTATAAGACGGGACACAAAATAAACCATATAACAGACTCTGTTAACCTTTGACCTCTAAGTGTGACCTTGACCTTGGAGGTAGGGGTGCAGGTGTTGTACCTGACATATTGTCTTATTATTGTGACTGTTTGTGCCTAGAAATTTCAAAATCCTGAAGAAGTACAAAATATACCCTAAAAGAGAATACGTTATCTTTTGACCTCTAAGTGTGACCTTGAACTTGGGAGGTAGGGATGCAGATGTTGCGCATGACACATTGTCTTATTATAATTGTCAAACGGCATCATACTAGCACGTGGAAATCATTGTACAAACAGTGGTTTCTTAATACGAAATACTGATTACAAAATGCAGAATATCCATTTTTGATGTATACTTTTATGCAAGAATTTAATGCTCCATTTTATGCAAGAATAGCTTTAATGCTCCATTTTAAGTATAAGCATCTGCAGAAGACCTCTATGTAAATCCGTCGCCATGCAGACTCGACTTTCATAGCGTCCTCTTGCTTCTGCAGATGATAATGCGCGAAATAAAGTCCAATTGCCCTTAGTTATATAAACATTTTATCAACCCCAAGCTTAATGGCGGTGTCTGAATATACCCGCGCATAACCGTGCCATTTTAGATATTAGGTGTGGTAAGAGTTAACTATGCATTAAACAAGTAAACAAGTAATCCAGGCATATAAGTGAAACGTCTTAGATATCATTTCGAAAAATATAGTAAGTTTATTAAGTAATGTTTTATTTTCACCGGTAAACAATTCTACTAATTTGAAAGAAAAACTGTGGGATTAACATAGGGATACCGTTTTCAGAAAACTTTTGACATTTAAACAAATAATGAACTGCGTAAACTACATCATCATTACAAAAGGTCAATTACAATAGCAATGCTTTTATGAGAGTGTTCAACTACAGTGACAACATAGCAGCGTAATTTACAACTCTGTTATAGAAACGTAAGGTTTGGAGGGTCAATACGTCCACTGACTGATCAAATTTCGACTCTTTTCGAATATATAATCTACGATACATGCTTATAACTATAGGGCAGTTAATCGTTCGAGACGCTTAAGACATGAAATGAAAGGTTTACATAACGAACAACAGATGTTTTACCTGGTGGCAAAAGCGCTGTAGAAAAAAGTTTTTACATTATTTTGTGTTACATTAAATTATTAATGCAGTATCAAAGTCAAAGCAAAATAAGTATTCATTGCTAAAAATTGTCAGAGGGTGCTAAATCAAAATATGAACATTATAATTCATTTGAATTTCATCACAATCACCATCATCATCATCATCATCAACAACAACAACAACATCACTACCATCATCATCATTATTATTATTATTATTATTATTATTATTATTATTATTATTATTATTATTATTATTATTATTATAGCACTATCAATAAAAATGATGTAGCAAATAAGGAACACTTACATCTTGCTTCTGGCCCGGCTGCTGAATCGTGTAAAAAAGCACAAAATAAAAATATGTACTTGTGATTATAGCTTATTCATACAGTGTACATAAATATTGACATAATAATACATATGGTACGATTATTAATATACATTGCTTCGTAAAATTTTTAATAAAAGGCACACATTGTCAAGCGTTTTAGTTTAAATTAGATTTGTTTATTCCTTCGCTCGTAAAACTTCGCTTGTCTATTGTATGATAAACCTTCAAATGTAGACCTGTTCACATAAATGTGACCAATAAAAAAATGAGATGGTCTATAATAGAATATTATTTATGCAATAAATAATAATGCTGAAACATAATGTTGATAACATTTAGCATCAGTCATATCAAGAAATCAAGAAAAATTATGTATGGATGTTTTTTGGAATGCTATCCTGTGATACATATATCTATATAGCATATAATGAAATATTCTAGAACAAAATATTATTAGTATTCATATAAATGTTCATATTGAATCGTTATGAACTGTTATCAACATGTTTTTCACACTTTATATGAATACCAAAAATGATACATTTTAATTGCTATCATCAATATTTGAAATACTTCGGGAAAATGTGCCCGTTGTAGATAAATCCCCTTTAAGTGTAAAATTACAACCTTAAGATACAGAACATAACATTTTATAGAAAATAAGAAAATTGCACAATTTAAGTTACCAGTATATTGCAGTATTTCACATTTGATAAACTCGTTTTCTAGTTCAAAATATGACTATAAATATATGGTTAGAAAAAGATAAATGAGCTGTGTCACGACAAAACCAACATAATTGGTTTGCGACAAGCATGGATCCAGACCAGCCTGCGCATCCGCGCAGTCTGATCAGGATCCATGCTGTTCGCTATCAGTTTCTCTACTTGTTATAGGGTTCGTAAGCGAACAGCATGGATCCTGATCAGACTGCGCGGATGCGCAGGCTGGTCTGGAACCATGCTGGTCGCAAAACCATTATGTTGGTTTTGTCGTGACGCGGCTCATATGTTTTTGAAGGAAATAGATAAGACTATACTATATACATATAAGAGCCACATATATTACACAATATACACCAAAAATTAAAAAGCTAATGGATATATACTTTAAATCTTAAGTGAGACACTATAAAGGTTATCATAGTCATGAACCTTCGTGCGGCTCGAACAAACGATCGTTGGATAAAGAGGCCAGCACAATATCTACAAGGGAACCACATTCTTCCTTTTTTATTTGCTAGATAGTTTTCCCGTGGCCACAATGCCAATAATATATCGGCAAACACGCTTAAACACCCGTATGTAATCAAAAGATAAGACACAAGCCAACTAGACATGTGCTCGTAGGACACGGATGCTCCCTCATTTGAGCCGCGTCATGACAAAACCAACATGATGGTTTTGGGACCAGCATGGATCCAGACCAGCCTGCGCATTTGCCAAGTCTGATCAGGATCCATGCTGTTCGCTCACCAAGTCTATTACAAGAAGAGAAACTGAAAGCGAACAGCATAGATCCTGATCAGACTGCAGGCTGGTCTGGATCCATGCTGGTCGCAAACCCATTATGTTGGTTTTGTCATGACGAGCCTAATTTCATTTTGTTTCAGACTAAAAAGAAAAAAATGTTGAAAAATGTTGCATCCGAACAACGTGATGGACGTACAAGGACAAATCCGCCCCCCCCCCCCCACCGAAAAAAATATATGAAAAAATAAAAGAGTGGCGGGGTTCGGATTATATATTGCCAAATGTCAAAACTTCTAAGCAATATCTCCAATTCTTATAAAATTCCAGTTCAAAATCCTTCCCTACTGATATCTTTTTAGTTCATATTTTCAGGAACAAAAGATAGTGTTCAATGATGTCTTACCTTAGGATGTCAAATTAGTGTGGTTACTTATATTCACAGCACAAGAAAAAGGCGCGGATCCAGGGCTTTTACCAGAAGAGGTCACCAAATTTTCGCAAGGGCTAATACATAGCCAGGATAGGGTTAAACATAATACTAGTTTTCCAATGGGGTCATAGGTCAATCCTCCGCACACGAAAAACAAAGTAAGTTTATGTTCAGACCTTGATTGTTTTAGTATGTGCATAAAAGCTAAATGCAAAGGGGGTCATGACTCTCATCTCGCCTTCTGGATCCGCGCTCGGTGTTTGCACTACATCATGCATATACTTACGCATTGAACGAAGATGTCCCCCTAAAATTGATTTAAGTTATTTCATGAACACACGGCAAATAATGCGATATTGATTTGTAAGTATTTTACTAGTCATTTCAAGGAAAATTTTGCAACATGTTATGCAATCTCCGACATCTGGAGGGGTAAACTTTTTTCCAAGTTTGCTATTTGTTAAATGGATTTTTTTGCTCAACACTAAGTCAATTATAATTAACTGTTTTTTAAGTTTTACTGGTCAGTTATTTTGGAAATCTAGTTCGAAATATGATACAAACATGTAAAAACACATGTGAAAACACACAATGTTTGACACAATGGTCGACATACAAAAGAAACGGGCAATACGCCTGGCAAGTGAAGCTGAATATCGGAATGCAAAATTTCTCACTTATATAATTATATAGCTTGATTGATCTGGAAGTTTGTGATGTTTAAGCGTTTATCGAAATTCTTAGAATATCAGTAAATATTGCAAAATTACAATATTTATTGATATTCTAAGCCCATATTTTTTACAGATAGAAAAGAACCCTGGTATGCAAATGTTAATTTGAATCCCTAGTATTTCAACCTAGTAGTATATGGGTAAATTAGAATCCCAAATAGTTCAAGGAATTGACAAGCAGGAATGTCAAAATTTGACACCAGCATAAATTACATATTGTAATAAAATCAGTTTTAAGTCATAAGAAAGAAAAAGTGTAGTGAACAAATTAATAAAGTACTTTAGAATTCATTCCATCAGAATTATATAAAGGCGGAAAATTAAAGCCCCCGAATCCCCGCCGCCTCCCTGATATCGATGCAAACATTTACAATTGTGTTTTAACAACCATGGGTTTTCAAAAAAAAAAAAAAAAAAATAACATTGAAAAGCAAAATCTTTGAGAAATAGGTGCCTTGGCAATATATAATATTGCGCATATTTTTTCTTCTTGTTAATCAACTATATTCCTTATCCTTTAACCATGTGTGAAAAATGTTTATACATAAAACACAGTCGAGTTGAAACAAGCACAATGTGAAATAAAAGTTAACATACCAGGACTTGAATCACCTCCTGGAAATCCAATTCATAAACAATTATTAATTGCATAAGCAGAAAATGTAGCATTTCATGTATTTTTTTATACAAATAAGCTATTATCAGCTTTATTTTATTTAGAAATGTAGATACGTAGCAATTAGAGTTCCAGAACTTGTACATATTGCACTTTAAAACGCGGTTGTCTGTTACTAAATATTTTACAGACCAAACCTTATGAAATTTCAAAATTGGATTCTATTTCCTTTTCTTTATTGTTGAAAGGCAAACATTTGTATAAATTCTCTTTAAATACGTTCTTCTATCGAAAGTCTAATGAAGTAAATAAACGCTTTAATCTTTTAACTGTAAAAATAAAAGTTCTTGGTACATACCCGAAGCGTCACGAGTCTGTGGTCCTGAAATGCATAAAAATTGAAATACAAACAGAATGTGTTTTAAATATACAGTATTAAATGCTTACCTATTTTAAATGTGTAAAAGTGTCTTACTAAACGAATTGATTGATTTATTACGATTGTCATAACTGTAAGGAATTGTGATTATGAAATGTGATTTATTAATAAGGAATTCTCTATGCTAAAATTATTGACAATGTGAAATAAATGTATTCTATTTAAGGACATTATATGTGGCTAGAATTTTCAAACATGACTAAAAGAACAAAGGGGAAAACAGTAGGCTAATCACTTTAAGTATCTTTCTGTCTGGATGCCCATGATAACAGTTTTGTTTTATGTGGCTACTTTAAATAAGTAACACTACATTTTCTTTAATGCAATACATTTTGTAAAAGTTGTATGTGGTAAAAAAGATGGTTGTATGTATGCAAAAAGGAACAATGGGAGAAAGCAACCGGTAACTCGAAGGTAAGAACTGGCGTGTTTGCTTCCTAAAATCCTAAAATATCAGAAACAGATACAAAACAAACTAGCACAAAACAAACAGATAAAGCAATATAGGAGAGTGTCGTGTAAGAAAAACAGGAATAAACCTGTGCAGGAAAAGTTGGCAAATTTACAGAAATAAAAGGTAATGGAATATTTCATAAAAGGACACTACAAACTTGAAATGAAATGGAAACAAATCATGAACTGGATCGTGTGAATGGATAAGGCACTACAAGGGGTATGAATAAGATATCAGATATCTTAATTCCGACTGACGAGAAAAAAAATAAATGGAAAATATTTGATGTCTTTGCATCGATCCATGGCCTGTCTATTTCAAATGATTGGATTAGTGGACACAATATCAACTGGCTTTTGATAAACTCACAACTAAACTACTCACCTCCACGCGTCAGAACGTTTTTATTCTTTGAAGTACCCGGATCAACTACACAAAACATTTTATAAGAATTTTAATTGTAAATTAAAAGTAAACGTGAACAAGTTTAGTCACTGAGGTACAACCGAATATATATTCAAATAGATATTTTACACTAATAGATACATCAATACCATATTTCTAGGGTGAATAAAACCTAACTTTATGGTTATGATAACATGGGTGTAATCTGATATATATATTATCAGTTGGCATTCTATTTACTTTAACATTTAACCTTCTGGGACCGGATGTGCTTAACCTTGTCCCCAGTGTAGAACCAGGAAAGTATTTGTTCCGGCTCTATACTGCTCGCAGGCTTTCTTTAAATTATCACTCTGATATCCCCAAACTTGATAATGGACAGTTTAAAAAATGCAAGCTAGACAAGTCCACTCAAGAAATTCTAAAGTGCTAAAAAGGATCTAGAAAATGATAACAGTCGTGAAAAAGCAAGTCAATAGGAGTTTTTTATTCAACAGAATAGTGTGAAAAGTGTTTTTATTTCAACCAGGTACGTATATACGTACCTGATCTACACAGCCCTCCAGCACTACCACGTCGACAACCATGTCCAAAAAATCATCACCAGCTACCTTGACGGCATCAAGCTTCGGTTTTCTGTTGGTGACCAGCTGACGAAGTGGCAGAAGTTGGAGAAAGGTATAGTCACCGGATGTACTGTTTCTGTGGTACTCTTCGTCATGGGGATGAATTGCTCATCAATGCTGCCATTAGAGAGACCCGCGGACCAAAGACAGAGTCAGGTATCTACCTCCCATCAAGCCGAGGTTTTTTATGGATGACCTCACGTTGACGACACCAACACACGTCCAGGCTAGATGGATGTTGACAGCACTGACAGACGTCGCGTCATGGGCCCGAATGAAATTCAAGGCCGTAAAGTCCAGGTCCCTCATTATCAAGAAAGGCAAGACGACAGACAGATTTGTGCTCCGAGTACAGAACGAGGAGATCCCATCCATCACGAAGAACGTCCCCCAATAAAGTGCCTTGGGAAGTGGTTTGATGCCAGCCTAGTAGACCAAGGACAACGTCAAGAAGCTAGAGAACCAGGTAGAAGACGGGCTGAAGAAGATAGACCGGAGCAACCTACCTGGGAAGTTCAAGGCCTGGCTGTTAACAGCATGCCTTACTACCAAGGCTGATCTGGCCAATGATGCTGTACGAGGTACCCAGCTCAACAATAGAAGCCTTAGAGAGAATCACCAGCCGACATCTTCGCAATGGCTTGGAATCCCACCCAGTGTTCTCCAGTGTTGGACTGTATGGGAAAACCAACAAACTGCAACTCCCACTATCTTCACTGGTAGAAGAATTCAAGACGGCGAAGACAAGACTGGTGCTTACCCTAAGAGACTCCCCAGATGAGCAGATCGGGGAAGCAGGGATCGTTACCCGTACTGGAAGAAAGTGGTCAGCGACAGAGACTGTCAACCAGGCGGAGAGCTCTCTCATGCACAAGGACATCGTCGGTGTAACGGCTGTCGGACGACAAGGTATTGGTGCAACCAAAACACTCCTATGGAGCCAAGCCAACCAGACTGAGAGGCGAGCCCTGATACAGTCAGAAGTACGGAAGGAAGAGGAGAACAAGAGACAGGCCAGAGCGGTAGAGATGGGTGCGCAGGGTGCATGGACAACGTGGGAAACCATGGAAAGGAAGCTGACCTGGGAAGACATCTGGAAGTATGAACCACTTCGTCTATCCTTCCTCTCAGGTCAGTTCATGACCTCCTGCCATCTCCAGCTAACCTCTGCCGATGGGGACTAACCACAGACCCAACATGCAGTCTGTGCAAGAAACCAGGCACTCTGGAACATGTTTTATCTTCCTGCTCCACAGCACTGACGCAGGGCAGATATCGCTGGCGACACGACAACGTCCTCAGAGAGGTTGCCAATTGGCTGGAAGGGGAGAAGAAGAAGCCACGCAGAAGTAGCTCACAGGCAGGCCACATCAACTTTGTGAGACCGGGTGAAACTGCGACGACAGAAGCTTCACAGAAGAAATCGATCCTTGACGGCGCCACAGGATGGAATATGTCAGTCGATCTAGGAAAGAAGCTTGTGTTCCCGGGTATCGTCCAGACCAACTTGAGACCAGACATTGTACTGTGGTCCGAGACAGGGAAGAAGCTCGTTGTCATCGAGTTGACAGTACCTTGGGAGACGAGATGTGAAGAGGCCTATGAGAGGAAGAAGGCCAAGTACACTGAACTACTTGAGCAGTGCCGACACCGAGGTTGGCGGACTTGGCTATTCCCCATCGAAGTAGGCGCTAGAGGGTTCTGTGCGCAATCTGTATGTAGATTGATGACAGCTGTTGGCACCACTGGCAGAGACAGGCGCCGGGCAATCCAGAAGCTGAGCCAGGCTGCTGAGCGGGCGTCTAGCTGGCTGTGGCTACGACGCGAGGAGACAAGCTGGATGCGATCAACCTCCACACCGTAAGACGGTGGGCCCACCCGCCATTACAGATGTACTTGGATAAGGGCCGAAACATCTGGCGGGCACCAAGCTGACGATGGAGGAAGATCCGCAGTCGAGAACCAGACCTCAGAAAGGTGCGTTTAAGACTGTATTATCCACACAACCGACTAAAATTCTGAACAGGTAAAAGTCAAATGTAGAAACATTTTGTCATACTTATTTGTGCTTATTTACGGAAGAGCATTAGTGCCAGGTGTTTGTTTTTTATTAACTCGAAATTTCGAGTTACTAACTCGAAATCTCGAGTTACTTATCTCGAAATTTCGAGTTACTAACTCGAAATTTCGACTTACTGACCCGAAATTTCGACTTAGTAACTCGAAATTTCGACTTAGTAACTCGAAATTTTGACATACTAACTCGAAATTTCGAGTTACTTATCTCGAAATTTCGACTTAGTAACTCGAAATTTCGACTTAGTAACTCGAAATTTTTCGACTTATTAACATTACAAGAATGACCAAAGTTATTAGTAAGATGATAAAAGATATAGTAGGGAGTGCCGTTGAACGATGGAGATGGAGAAACGGGTACCTGGACAAAAACTATTGAAATTAAACTGGCATGTACACACCCGACCTAAAAACACAAGGCTTCCTTTAATTTGTACGTTCAGGCGTTCTTCACACGTTGTATTGTATCCCATCTGTTCGAACACATCTTTTCACTTATCATATTTTTCTCATCCCTGTGCATAAAACGATCCTATACTTCACGTGTGGGACATCTGAGGAAAGTATCGCGGCGTGGCCAAAATAGGGCGTGCTGAGGCCTTTGTCAAAATTGTTGGACTGACTGTATTTCTTGTAAATTTATATTATTCCAAACATATATATAACAACAAGTTCCACTTAGTAAATAATGAATAATATTACAAAACATTATTAGTATAAAGAAACGTGACAGACTAACTGGCGTATACACGCATTTTAAAACTTATTTAAACACATGATATTGCACAGTTTACAATAGAGTTTTGGACTTGTTGTTTCTCCACATGATGGTTGTATATGTGCTTAAGAAAAGAAACATCCGGTTAACACGGAAATGTGGAAAAGTGTGACACCCCCCCCCCCTCCCTCCACAAAAAAGCGAAGCATATGTTCTGTATGTGTGGACAATTTGACCCTATTAAATTGTTCTGTTAAATAAATGTTAAAGGTGCTCTGTCAATGTGCAAGAGCTACACACGAAAGAAAGTATCTTGAATTCAATCCTTGCTTTCACCGGCAACTAATGAAAGTCGTGCAATGTAAGTCGAAATTTCGTGTTACTAAGTCAAAATTTCAAGTTACTAAGTCGAAATTTCGAGTTAATAAGTCGAAATTTCGAGTTAATAAGTCGAAATTTCGAGTTAATAAGTCGAAATTTCGGGTTAGTAAGTCGAAATATCGAGTAAGTAACTCGAATTTTCGGGATAAGTTAGTCGAAATTTCGAGTTAGTAAGTCGAAATTTCGAGTTAGTAACTCGAAATTTCGAGTAAGTAACTCGAAATTTCGAGATAAGTAAGTCGAAATTTCGAGTTAGTAAGTCGAAATTTCGAGTTAGTAACTCGAAATTTCGAGTTACTTACTAAATTTCGAGTACGTAACTCGAAATTTCGAGATAAGTAAGTCGAAATTTCGAGTTAGTAAGTTATGATCCAGTAGAGAGTGTTTGGAGAATCTTCTTCAAAGCAATGCAAGGCTTATAGAGCTCTAACGCAAGGAAACATGACAGCAAGATGCTTACGTAAAATGATCGCTTTTTAAGCCGGCGATGAGTTCTTAAGTATAAAAGTATATAAAGTCTAAGAAATTTCGTGAAAAAAAATCTTGAGCGAACAGTTAAAATTTGTCAGATTCCGCAGCTAGAATGGTTTGGGAAGCTATCATTTCCTGCACCAAATAGTCATCGCTCTATTTAGAGTTTTATATATGTTGAGATGTAAACACATGTTCTGCTGTTTAATATTTGTAAAAAACAACAAAAAGCAACAACTTACTGTTGTGATTCGCTGGTTCTATAAGAAAAACGGAAAGAGAAAATAAGCGCAAAAGAGCAAAAAGCGAAGCTGGCAAGTAAGCAAGCTGAAAACAGACACATAAACAGCATTAAAATAGTAGAAAACTGCTGATTTATGGCACAAACATGAGATTCAATCATCTCCACATTCCCATAACGGCAAAATATATTGTATTGACTATAAACTCCTTCATCTGAAACAAATCTAGAAGGAAGAGCTTAAAATTACACAAAGGTATTAAGCTGAAGAAAATGTTGGCATGCATAAAAGCTTTTGCGCACTATTATATACATGTAGTAGATGCAGCTACATTTTTTGACTGGCACCAGCATATATACTTGTACAGATGTGTTCAGTATATAGAGAGAGGAAGAAATGCTCACAGAGAAAAGCATATCAGTAAACGCAGCTTCTTTGTATGACGGCGTATGCATATAACTGCGCAAAGGGGTTTACATGTAAGTGAACAAAGCATTGGCAGTAAAAGCCGCTAGTATAGAATAACATAAAAGTATTCCATAAATGGCTCTTACATATAAATGTGGGAAGTATTGATAGAAGCCGATTAAAATAGAAACTGCTTATACGTGAATGCACGTATACAGAAGTTTAACCTTTTCTGTATATGTCGTTAGCATAATAGATGATAGACATATGTATCAGTGTATGAGTTAAAAGTCGAGTATACACAGTACCCTTCATATATACTCTCCTTGAAAGATACATTTTGATTGATATGCATATATATACATCCATTTCAGAAATATCTTTTGTATCAATTAAAGTATACATGATTGTTATTATAATAAAAACTAAAGAAATTTATTGTGGATTTCCGTTGATATATGAAAATGTGGATAAATTTCCTGTTTATTCTTTCAGTAGACCTAAAATAATAATGCACTTATAAAGCATTTAGGAATTTACACTAAACGGGTGTTAAAAGGTATCTCATACATGAACGAACGATCTAGATACGTGTATATTGGTATATAGCTGTTTAGTAACCGGTACTTTGATAAAGGTGCAAAGCAGTATTTAGAAGTATTGCATCGTAAATATATAACAAAGCAGTATGATGAGATATTGCACGGCACTTTGATAACGGTGCAAAACAATATTAAGATATATTGCACGGCACTTTGATAATGGTGCAAATCAGTTTAAGGAGATATTGCACGGCACTTTGATAAAGGTGCAAACCAGTTTTAAGGGATATTGCACGGTACTTTGATAAAGGTGCAAAATCAGTTTTAAGAGATATTGCACGGCACTTCGTTATTAATGAATAGAAAGTATTTAGAGGTATTGACAGAATGACTGGATTCCGGTTATAATAACTTACCTGAATTGTAATCGTCCCCTGTCTGGTAATCGTAATTTTGACCATAATCTGTTCGAGAGAAAAAACAATGAAATAAAAAAATAATCACAACCTTTCATTTAACAATGTATGGAATAGAGTGAAATAAGAATCCCTAAAGAAAGCCCAACGTGCCAAAATTGAGAATGTTGCAGGCTCGGTTTGATTGAGCCTGTTCATGGACGGAACTTTCAAGTGCAAACAACCGTCCACGCCCGCTAGCACCGGCTTAAGCAGAATTCAACATTTAACATAAACTGGTAAAATTTAGAATTTTGAAACATCCGCAGATGAATGTGAACAGCAAATATTGGTAAGCAATATGTAAATTACATCTTTTCAGTACGAATATAAAGACTAAAATTGCAATAAATAAGATTTTTTACAGTTTTAAACACACATTCATACTTCAAAAACGATTGACGACCTTCAATTTTTGACATGAATAGATTTTCATTATGTGCCATGAGCCAGAGTACATCTCTGCATGAGCGGAACAAGAATTTGAATATATCAATAGAGCAGTATAATTTGTCATCTAACACAGCATTGATATAGCTACTGAATATCAAACTATGCAACCGTTTCTTGCAATAATAAGCTTTAAAAGAAAGAAAAAGTGTCCAACATAAATAAGCTTTCTGCTTCAATTATTCCTTTGCATTATTTCTTATCTTTCAGGTAAAAAAAGATAATTCTAAGTTAAGTTTTTAAGACTTACCTGGTGTAGTGCTGGTCGAATCTGCAATCAAAGATTATTTCAATTATCGGAATAATCACTGTGCAGAATATGCCAAAACGTAGGAATTTGAAAATAACGTGAAATTGTACAAAACTACTACCGAAAAGAGCATCATGGTAAATAAGCAATACTTATTTTACTTAATCAGATTGAAATATATGAATAAACGCATACAGCTGGAAAAACATGATATTTTCATTCTCATTATAAATGTTCACAGGAAAATGTTGGCCTTTCAAAATCATTTCTGAGAATGACCACCTGGCCACCGTTTTGAAGGCAACTTTTGTGTTTTATTTGCTTCATTGTTTGCTTCAAACGTTGCCATCAATACGGTAACTAGGTTATCATTCTCACGAATGTTCTTTAAAAGTCGACACTTTCCTGTCCATAATTGAAATGCTGTTTTATGATATAATGTCAAAAACCTGCATGCGCTTATTCGTTTTCTAAAATCGAACTATAATAAATTCTTGGTGAACCAATGTCATGTAAATTTCCTTAACAGCAAGTTTCGTATGTTCAAAATCATTATAAAACGTTTAAAATCAGGAAAACATTTTATTCTGTTGACTTACAATATTCATGTGTATCAAATAAAAGAAACTTTCAATATTACAACTCGATCATAAAACACCATAAGTTCATTGTTTACAAACTTATTAACATATTTGAGCCGCGTCACGACAAAACCAACATAATGGGTTTGCGACCAGCATGGATCAAGATTAGCCTGCGCATCCGCGCAGTCTGATCAGGACCCATGCTGTTCGCTTACCAAATTTATTACAAGTAGAGAAACTGATAGCGAACAGCTTGGATCCTGATCAGACTGCGCGGTAGCCTGGGTTCCAGTCTGTCGATTTTTTTTATGTGCTTCTGTTCGGCAAATCGATAGCCTGGGGAAATACGATTTTCGATCGAAGCGCCACCTAGTATACACCCCGGAAATTACGGGTGTTATTTAAAGAAGGATAACTCATGCAACGACAAACTAGTTGCTAAAAATAGAACGGATGCGCAGGCTGGTCTGGATCCATGCTGGTTGCAAACCCTTTATGTTGGTTTTGTCGTGACACGGCCCATATTTCTTTAGATATAGCCTTTATAGCCTTTAGATATAGCAAACGTAATGTATAAATGATATTATCCTAATAGAATTTATCGTAAATCTTACCTTCGCCTTGACTTCCTCTCGCTGTGAAGAAATGAAAAATAATAAAAAAGATAGAATAAAAAATGTTTAAAACATAGATTAATAATCAGTGGTTTCCCTTCATGAATTATAATACAATGTATGTACAAGGTGAATCATTCAAAAAATATCATAAAGAAACAATTCTTTTTTACACTGGAGTAAATCTAACAATTATAATTCAGAGAGAGAATTGCTTTGGAAAAAAAATCTAAAATTATCAGATAATGAAACATCGAATAACAAGCATCCCCGTAAAAAAAGAAATATATTGTGTAACGTATAAGTTGAGTGAGCAACGTATAAGTTGAGTGCAAAGTGGACAAGTTAAGTGCAAAACGGATAAGTTGAGTGCTTAAAAGATAAGTTGAGTGCGGAACGGATAAGCTGAATGTGTTACGGATAAGTTGAGTGCAAAACGTATAAGTTGAGTGCAAAACGTATAAGTTGAGTGCAAAACGTATAAGTTGAGTACAAAACGGATAATTTGAGTGAAAAACGGATAAGTTGAGTGCAAAACGTATAAGTTGAGTGCAAAACGTATAAGTTGAGTGTAAAACGGATAAGTTGAGTGCAAAACGGATGAGTTGAGTGCAAAACGGATGAGTTGAGTGCGAAGTGGACAAGTTGAGTGCAAAACGGATAAGTTGAGTGCGAAGTGGACAAGTTGAGTGTGCAACGTATAAGTTGAGTGCGAAGTGGACACATTGAGTGCAAAACGGATAAGTTGAGTGCTTAAAACATAAGTTGAGTGCGGAACGGATAAGCTGAGTGCTTAACGTATAAGTTGAGTGCGTAACGTACATGTATAAATTGAGTGCGTAACGTATAAGTTGAGTGCGTAACGTATAAGTTGAGTGCGTAACGTATATTTCTAACACTATCGGAGATATTTCCCTTATACATGTAAAACAAAGAAGGCCGGAAGCGTGATATATTTCATACGGCCTTCGTGATTATTTTACTGCGCGTCTGAACTCCATACCGTGCTATATTATAACACAGATCACTCAAAATCAAGATCTATTTTCTAAGTTGAGTGCGTAACGTATAATTGCGTTATGGATTATTTGATTGCGTAAAAGATCAGTAGATTACGTAATGGAAATTCTGACCACGTAACGTTGAATGTGTTACGTATTAGTAGATGGATAAAAATGATTTTTAGAGAGCAACTAAATGGTGACATGTGTACAATGTTCGTTTAAAAAAAAAAAAAAAAAAAAAAAAAAAAAAAAGCTTTTATGAAATAAAAGTGAAATGAAATAAAAAGAAGCATGAAACACACACAAAAATGAAATAAATTAAAACAAAGAAACACTAAAATCCATAAAAAAATCCAGCAAAACACTATTAAAGATAATTAGATGAAAATGATAAAAAATCATTAATAACTGAAATCAAAAGAAAAATAGAAGAAAAAACATACCTATCGGTTCATCTTCTTTTAAAGCGTTTGTCACTGGAAAAATACACATAATGTATTAAACAAATAAATATGTCATTGAAAATACAAAAAAATGCTAAAATGCGCGTGTCCCTGAAAATATACTTTTAAAAGGTAAAAAAACAAAAAAACAAACAAACAAAAATGTACCCATTGTGTTTGTTCATGGACGGTGGTGATAAGAACAAGCTATTGCCAACGCTCCCTAGTAATTCAACATTGTTAGTATTTCAACAAATGAGCCGCGTCATGACAAAACCAACATAACGGGTTTGCGACCAGCATGGATCCAGACCAGCTTGCGCATCCGCGCAGTCTGATCAGGATCCATGCTGTTCGCTATCAGTTTCTCTACTTGTTATAGAAAGTGTAAGCGAACAGCATGGATCCTGATCAGACTGCGCGGATGCGCAGGTTGGTCTGGATCAATGCTGGTCGTAAACCCACTATGTTGGTTTTGTCATGACACGGCTCAAATACTCTTTTAGGAGCAAACGTTGTTATTTTTTTCTTTTCAAGATGTGTGAAAGATGAAAAGAAATACATTCTATAGTGGTCAAATAATCTTATTTAAGTGAAATTGATGCGTTCATGAACAGAAAAGACTTGTCCTGTCCTTTTCTCCTGTTTAGTCTATTGTACATTAATTTTATTGTATCGTGTTCTGTTCTATTCCATTCTATTCTACTCTGTTCTGTTCTGTTCTGCTCTATTATATTCTATTCTACTGAATAGACATAAGCCCTTGAATTTTAGCATTTTGAAACTCTCACCAGGGACCGATATAAAGCCCATTGCAAATAACTTTTCCTAAATTTTCCTAATTCAAATTCCAAACAGCAGCCAAATAAATATACTGTTTTGATTTCTGACAAAAATTGATCTTGTTTCTTAAAAAAGGAGTGACATAAAATATTATCATACACTTGAATTAAACTTGGGTATATAGAATGTAGTGTTTTTATTTTTTTTTTAAATTTCTCTTATCCCCAAAAATGCAGCATATTTTCTTCTTATTTGAGCCAGGGACCTTGAAAAGACCCCGCTCTATTGTATAACAGTGTGTACTGGTTATATAATTCACTATCAAATTATAAATTTTCATTTAATGGTAGGATATTACGCAATTGGACTTTTTGCAGGTGCGCGATGACGTAGTACCCTACCATTGATAGATTTCTTTTTATAATTCTGTAATAAAAGAAATAAATAATAAAAAAAAATAAGTAAGGCTTTAACCTTACCTGAAAAGTAAACAAGAACAGCTATAAGTCCGGCACCAAGGACCACTGCAATGGTGATGAATATGCATTCCTTGCGTCGAGACCTCTTCTGAAATGGGGCAATATCCTCACACGAGCTGTTAGATGACACTTCGCTTTTGACTTCTCTCAGACCTGAGTAAAAGAAAAATCAACAAAATATTTAAATGCTCAAAATGAAATGTTTGCTTATGATTGGTTTATAAGTCAGCGGTAAAACACGGGTTTTAAGGCCAGTTGCAAGATACCAGCTGTATGTTTCATCAGGCGTTTTAGGTCAGTTGTAAAGTACAAGCTGTATGTTTCATCAGGCTTTTGGGTCGGTTGCAAAGTACAAGCCGTAAAACACGGACTTTTAGGTCAGTTGTAAAGTATCAGCTGTAAAACACGGGCTATTAGGTCAGTCGTAAAGTACCAGCTGTAAAACACGGGCTATTAGGTCAGTCGTAAAGTACCAGCTGTAAAACACGGGCTTTTAGATCAGTCGCAAAGTATCAGCTGTAAAACACGGGCTATTAGGTCAGTTGTGAAGAACTAACTGTAAAACACGGGCTTTTAGGTCAGTTGTGAAGTATCAGCTGTAAAACACGGGCTATTAGGTCAGTCGTAAAGTACCAGCTGTAAAACACGGACTTTTAGGTCAGTCGTAAAGTACCAGCTGTAAAACACGGGCTATTAGGTCAGTCGTAAAGTACCAGCTGTAAAACACGGGCTTTTAGGTCAGTCGCAAAGTATCAGCTGTAAAACACGGGCTATTAGGTCAGTTGTAAAGTACTAGCTGTAAAACACGGGCTTTTAGGTCAGTTGTGAAGTATCAGCTGTAAAACACGGGCTATTGGGTCAGTTGTAACAACGTTACATAAATTATGCTTACTATAACTTGATAGCTTACAAATGGATTCAACAATTGCATTCATTGATTCAATACGTGCGCGTGCGCCTTGAATATGCATTATTGAATATTACTGAATATAGCAGCCTTAAGGAAAAACTTTTGTCATTCAAATCTAAATCTTAAAAACTATTCTTATGATAAATTTACTACCCTTTACTGAAAAGGTTGACGGACTGTAAAGGTGAGTGCCTAAAAGAGATAACTGCAATAGTAACACAAAGCTCAGAGGGCTTTAAATTCATTTTAATACATTATGCAATACAGTATTTAAGCCCGATAATTGAATTATTATCTTAAATTCGCTTCAGATTCAGTGCCTCACATGTCATTGAATTTGCATACTATTTGTTAACTTAAAACAATTAAAAAGACCTGTCAACTATTGTTTTTAACAATTTCAGTACAAATAGACGAAATGGAAATTCTACTATAGAAATGAAAGAGCTTCCAGTTATTAGCTAGTATAGTTATAGTTTATAAATATGTTTGTATTGCGCATGCTCAGGAACATGTCTATAATAAATTTACATTTGTAGAGTACACACGTGTTTGTGTTATATCACTATTTTTGAAGTCTTCTAGATTATGGTATAGCTCCAACAATAAAACATTTTGTTTTCCTTTTTTGTTTTTACTTTTCAAATTACGCAATCAAATCACGTCATCGGTGAATGTTCAGAGACATGCCTTTAGTGCCTTTTATAACTAGGGTTCAAAGAAATCAATACATCAAAGCATAAATAATTTTATCTATATAGTCAAATGTCCGATAAATGAGACGACACGAAAAGAACATGACCAAAAAAAAGAAAAAAGAAAAAAGAAAAGAAATGAAGGGAACTAGATAAACGTCTGCTATATTGTTTCTATCTCAACAGACAACTCAAATAACAACAGAGGAGGTTGAGGCGCCATTGGGGGAATTTTCATAGTCGTATGATAAACTGATATTGTTCCAGCACATGAAATTTTTGAAAAATATCGTAAAATTAATTAACATTCATTTTACTTTAAAATTTGATAATTACGATAAGCTGCGCTTGAAAGGCTTACCGCGACACGTGTATCAAAGTTTCTTACTTCATTACGTCATCCGTGACGTTTATTAAATATTAAAGACACCTGATACTCATCCTAAAATAAAAAGTAAATGTGTTCCAATTAAATATTTTCTTTTGTTTATTATTCAAAATACCGAAAGGTCTTCCGAATTAGAAATCAATGCCGCGGTAACATAACAACATACATAAGTCTCTGTATATATACCTATCTAATTTTTCTTTTCTATTAACGAGTCTGACGTACACATTGTCTATAACTTATGAGAGAAAATGTCATTTATATAATATAATAAATCATAATTGTGTCATGGGGACGAGAAATTAAAACCAATTATCCTATAATTATGATTCAGATGTCAAAACTTATCACAGGCATCGGATAATTGTGCCGGCTATCCTTTGTAAACTAATTTTTTATTTGTAAGGTTTGATTTTCAGTCACAACCACATGACAATCTGACTCAAGTTCAAATCTACTTATTTCTTCCATGTAGATCTGATGACCACCGTTTCGCCTTCTTTACAATTCGGATTTCCCGAAAAAGCTATTTTTAGCCATGCAATCAAACCGGTTTTCACAAAGAGGCATTAGAAGAAGTATTAAAATACCGTTTGAAGTTTAAAAAAAATGTTGATTTTTGTGGAAAAATATGGTTTGAAGTAATTCTGACAAATTAACTTGAAATGATAGTCAATTTTTAATGGGCAAGATTTTTTTTTTGGACAGTTTACCTGTCGGCTATATGGACAACGTCATATTTGTTCTCTAAATCGTGAAGATTGGTTTTCCAGAAACCGAACGCTTTCAAATGAAAACTCGCCAATGATTGGTGGTTTGAAAGACCACGAGAAGGTGACAATTTATGGATGGGTGTCAGATCCTAATACTAAGCGTTATTTAGGGGCTGATTTTAATCAGACTGAACGACATGGTCAAGGCCATATCACGACTGTCCAGCTCAGTCGGAACATTTCGGCTATTTCACATAACTTCCGACTTAATACGGATTATAATACGTGGTTTTAGATGTAAACAAAAAAACAGAGGTTGCAATCTTTGACAATGTGTTACAAATGTTTATATATGACATCCAAAGTAAAGTTAAATCTTTTTCGGTAAAATTATGATTGAAAATATGACTGACAATCATAATCAATTCAAAAATGCCAAATGATGTACCATTATAACTAAATCCGAATTAATGTCAACAGATAGGCATTTTGTATTTTTGTTTTTTACAACCATATTAATAAGCATATAAATATTATATATATATATATGAATTTGCAGGATTTATTATTACTTATTATTTAGTAGGTGCCTGAACAGAACTACTGTAACCGCAGTCACCCTCCCCTCCTCGATAAACGTCTTAATTTGATATGCAAATTAAGTCCCTGGCGATACCTCTATACATAAAGTTATATCTGTTGATCAGCGAAAACTTTTTCAAAAGCAGGTGTCTCGAAATCAATTTCAATGTCATCTAATTTTAATTCAAATTATTCTCTTTTTTTAAAAATTTTTTACCCATTTTGCAAAGTTTAAAACATTACTATCTAACTTAAATTTTGCTTTGTTTCAATCAATTCTCTTGTAAAAGTGGACATAAAGCAAAGAATATGTCTAAACAACTAGATAATCAATGTTACATAATTATATTCAACGTCTTTATGCACAGTTTACATTTTTTCGCAATGCTCTAAGCATATTGGCCGTCATTGTAACAAAATATAACAATTATTGTTACACGCTTTGTTGAACTTGTTCAATGCTCGCATAATTTAATTTTATACAACTGGTTCAATAAATTTGGTATTGACTCATAGAAGATCTTTCATTGATAGATACTTTACAGGGTATAATTCAAGCAAAAACTTACTTGCTCCATTGGCTTCGGCTTCCTTCTGTTCTGCCGGTGTCATTTTTAGGCGTACCTGTAACATAAAGTTTTAAGAGATATTACACAATGTATTATAAATTGTTTATAGACAATATAAACATTATATTTATGTAAGTCAGCCTATATTCTCCCGTATATCCCGTCAGCAGCTAATTTAAAACTAATGTGTAACAATGCAAATTGTTATTGACCTTTAGGTTGCTCTCAATAGACTTTACGCTTAAGTTTTGTTTCTTGATGCAAAACAACAAGACAGGTTTGTTATCAAATTCTGTCCTACTGTCGCCAATCGTCATTTCATAACTACCATGTATCACTTAATCGTTAAGAAAGTTCGATTTTGTAATACAAATGTCCATATGACAGGAAAACATTTTGGGAAATGAACAATAAAGAATATGAGTATAATTAGGCCATGAGACAAATTCGGATCTAAAGTTCTTTCAAAGAAATAATTGTACATTATTTGTGCTTTAAATTGTCAGGGATAGTATTGCTAATCACTTGTATATTTGACTCGTATTTAATTTTCCTCAAATAACATTATCAACACTCAAGCATAAAGCCAACCAAACCCCGCAGAAATGAATTGAAATAGCGTGGGAAATTATGGAGGGCGTTCGTTGCCAAAATTCCAGACTTGTAGTGAAAATGCGAACGTGCATGTCTAGCATTTTTGATTGTACTCGTGCACAGCAAATGATAATTATGTCTCTTAATCCAATATTTTAATTGAAGGCACCCGCATTTACATTAAGATTGGATTCAGAGACATATCAATTGCTTTGCACGAATATAATCAAAAATGCTAGACATGCTCGTTCGCGTTTCCGAAAGTAGTTTTCTAAAGGGACACATTACATGTCTGGAATTTTGGCAAAGAACGCCCTCCATAGGAAATGAGCGAGGTTTTACTTTTCGTCCGTCCCAGCACTTCCGGATCTATGCAAAGGCAGAGTAGCCTCGGGAAAGTCGGAATCGCATTGCGGAGATTTTAACATGAAATATAATAGTCGATTTCCCCCGCTATTCCACGAGGATGAAGGGGCCTTTAAGTACATGATAAGACATAAGTTTGAACTCGCAGTGATATTTTAATGACGGATATTAATGACGAAAACATAATATATTTACGCATATTTTTTTACTTTTTATACAATCGTTAGTTTTTTTACCTATAAAAACTTATTAAATCTCAAAGCGTTTGCCAACGATGTTCCAATGATTGCAAAGTCTCAGAAAAACAATATTTATGTCATAACAAGTACAGAGTTAACCTGATTCACGCTATAATAAACGTGACACAGGTTCTCAGGTGTTTTTTTTTTCTTTGTTTGTTTTGGTTGTTGTTGTTGTTGTTGTTGTTTCTGAAGCTATTTAAATAGAATAGACCAAAAATGTATCCCTAAAGAACGCCCAAAGTGGCAAAAATGAAAATGTTGCAGTAATGTTGAAAACCGTTCGTTAATTGTACTGGAAAATGCAAGCTACCGCCCCCCACCCCGACCGATAAAATTTTGAATATAGAAACTCTCGCAGATGTTTTTATAAACGGCGGTTGCCGTGTAACCGTCAATGTTACACGTTAGTGCCATTTCATGAAAAGCCACGTCATGGTTCCCAACTTGCGTGTGCAACAATAACCTCAAAATATATGCACGGCCGGGCCGTGCAATACCATAAATGTGGAGTCGCAAAAACGTCACGGGTATGTGTTATGTTGTTATGTTATGTTATGTTTTGCTATGCCAGGCTGTGCTATGCTATGGTCCAAAATAAACTATTGGGTAACCATACTATCACAAATACTATCTACCATACATGTTTTATAATTCATATATTTATGCTACATAAATCATCACTAACGGTATTCTGAAAAACGTACTTCAGTTTTTGTAAAAAAAAATCTTTATTTCATAGGAAGTATCCCAGAATACTGTTACGTTTTTATGATTTATAATTTTTATAGTTTTCTTCCTTCTTGTGACTACATTATTAAGACAACATTAATACTAGATCGAACTTTAAACCATAAAAACGCTAAATATCTTAAATAAAATTGTCCATCTTCGAATCAAGACCTAACCATTCATCATTTATATGGAAAACTTCAAACATATGTTCGGACTAGATATCGAGCAGTGCAGGCAGATATGTGCCGGCTTAGCTTGGTCCGTATTGTCTGGTATGGGTTAACTCTGTTGACTCCAACAGGATTAAGCTTAAAGCTGCACGCCTGCAGACGAGACAAAATATCTCCAGAAAATCAATATTGAGAAAAATGAACTAAAATTTTAAGAAAGGTAAAAACATTCAAGATTCAAGTCATATTTTATATGTTATATGCGGTTTAACCCTGCTTTTGTAGTATTTAATCACCATATTTTTACTACGTTACTAACGCAGTAAGCGCTGTTTTGCATATGTTAACCACTTTTTGGAAATTTTCTTGAATTGTAAGTGCCGATTGTAATAAGTAAATTGCGTTATTTGTTCATCTCACAATATTTTACTTTTATATACATTTCCAAAATTTTCATGAAAATTAATATGAATCTGAAGGCGTGCTGCTTTAAGTAAAAAAATATTGAATAAGGATAGCCGGAGTTAGCATTACCCATCAGCTATTTTATTAGCTGAAAAATATAGATTTTGTTCGAAATAACATTGGTAAATGTACAATTTCATAGAATATAAAAAAATATATATCAATTTCAACGAAATGGTTAAACTGTGTTTTTAAACAACGATAAAAAAATAGTAAAAAATAACACCCAGATATAGATAAGGATATATTCTAGTATAATTACAAGTGGCAGCTTTCTATTGGCTGTTACCTATTTAACTATATACCTGGTATATTAGAAATAAAATTAATACCAAAATACATTTAATTTCACATGCTAATAAGCTGTCCACGTGAAATGAATTAAATATACTCGTACATCTGCTTTAAGCCACAGCGTACATTAATTAATTTATTGAATTTAATGGTTGCCATGGCAATTTCTTATTAATAGTGTGGCATGGTATTGGAATGGTTAACGCACGTTGTCCTTTACAATGGCAAACCTAGAATGATTGTCATTTCCTTTTTACATGTACACACATTGCTGCTTTGTGTCTAAATCGGTACCATTAGATGTGACCTATTTGCCACCTTCCTTCACAAAAGTTGACAATGTCATTTTACCCAGGTTTTTAGGCAAAAATTAATAATATGAATCAATATGCTCAACATCAGATTTTTTTTCCAGTTTCATAGGTGAAAACAGAAGTTAACTGTGAATTACACAGTGTCGACTCAAACTTTTTCTGTCAATTTATAGTTTTTCGGAACTCAATTAAGACACGTCAGACTTTTATCAACGGTCAATTTAATTTTTTTTCTAAATGATAGAGATCGTAATTATTTGATTTTGAAAACCTTTCAGGGACATGGTAAGACAAAAATGCCATCAATGATCAAATTTTCAAATCGAACGCAACTTATTTAGCCCTTTTCTTTAATTTTTAACAAGAAGTATCTTTAAAAAAAGATACTCATCCGAGGTAAACCTGCTTTTACGTGTATACGTTATTTCGGAAAAACAAATTTTTATACATGAAGAAATGGGTTTTCACAGCCTTAGAAACTGAACCATAAAGCATAATATTAAACAAAATCTCCGTATAAAGTAGAAGTTCTTCCTTGTTTTATAGTAATTATGTTTGCGTGAAAGTTTCCACGAGTCAAATAAATGTTTTAAGGATGCCTATATATCCATTTTGATCTATTTTTGTTGCATATTTCATATAACTTAGTGTTGATCTTAACTGCGGTAAAAATGTAATTGCTAAACAAGATAATTTACCATAAAGTAGTATATGTATTTTTAACCCATATTCATGTATGTGACATTTCAAATTGTGCCGATCTGGGAGTTCTTCAGGAATTCTTTTTTTCTTTTGGCGTCTTTCGATATTTTCATGCGCGAACTTCCGCAATCGTGAACGTCATTGGTGGTCTCGTCATTTTGGGCATAACTTATAATTTTTTATTTTAACTCAGTAAATTCATTTGACTGGAGATTAAATGACATTGATAAACCGGTGTAAAAGGTTGTAACTTCTTTAATTGGAGGAATCACGGCTCACATGTAACCGAAAAATTTAACTATAAATATTATTTCCGAAACTCCATAAGATTATTTAGGAATTTAGACGTGTATTCATTTCAGACAGATCCTTTAGATTATTTTTCTATTTTTAGAATGGTCAATGAGATTCCCTTGATTTCAGGTAGTTTTAAAATGACCAATAGAAATCCAACCTATATTTAGTTCTTTCCTGTATATTTTTCAGGAATTCAAACCGTTCTCAGACTGACTTGTCCGAAAAGTAACCGGTAATTCCACATGATTTGTAGTGGAAACAATCAAATAAAGATGTAATACTTGTACTGGTATAATGTAAACACAGAATTAATTACCTTTGTTGTAAATCTTTGAAGTCTGGTCACAGATCAGAAACAACCTGAAATTCAAAATGTAAATAAAATAATAATTATATCCACATTCACATTAAAAGGCAATTCTTGTTTTGCTTTGGACGTTAAAGTATTTATTTCATGTTTGCAATAAGGAAAAAATATGCTAAGAATAAATGGGAGTCACCATATTGGTATTCTGTCAGTTAATGACGTAACACTGTAAAACACCCTTATCACGTGACGGAAATTAACCAAAATAAATAAATAAATAACTACTACAAAAGGAGACGATTGAGTCTTCGGGTTTATTGTGAAATGTAGATATTGGCCGATCTGTAAGGGTTCATAATTCTTTATGGGAAAACCATATTTTTAATTTTTTTAATGCATACAGGTCCCTATATAACCTTACCGAAAATTATTGTCTTGTTTAAGTATTTACAGTATTTGTTTCAATATGTTAGTTGTTCTACTCAGGTGCCCGTTCGTACCTAAAATTACGCACGCGGGTCTTCCTTTACTAGTTATTCTGTGAAAATCACCATATGACCATTTCTGTGTTGGTACGATGTAAATATCAACCAAAATTATGATAATAAAAGAACTACATGTATTTGAAAACACATATGAACATACATATACATACATGATTATAATGATATCATATAACATAATTTGTTTTAACCTTTTCCCAACTATTTTGCTTGAATTTCTTGAAATGTCGATACCAAGATAATCGTCAATTTGTACCAAAATATTTGTTTTAGTAAAACTGTGTTTTTTTGCAGTTACGTCCATTAATATAACAGTCACTACAGCTTGTAGGACCGCATTTTTTGCTATGAAAAATTGACCGGGTGTAATATTTTCTCGCGCATGCTCAATCTGCGTAGCGCAAAAGATAATCGCCCTAAAATTGTAAAAGAAGTTCATAAACAACTCTGTTGACGGCAAAAAAATGTATATAAAATAACTTGTAACAAAAAACCCCCAAAAGATGCCTTCATAGTTCTGTGACCAAGATTGCCATGTAAAGATATGGAAAAGATGATTTTTTTTAAATTCCCGTTGCGACCACATCGGACTTGAAAATCATTTATTTTGAGTAATATTACGTATTACACGAGTAATTATTTTTTTTATTTTAAACACAATATTGTTTCAATTTCATTTACTGATGAAGAAGTCGTCAAATAATTCTTTAAACATAGGACTTTTGTATGCGCTTTTGGGTCATTGAACTAGTTTTCTTATATCTGTCATAAATATCAAATCACGTTTAATGTACCGTTTTTAAGCTGGCGACATTACTTGAAAACCACGTTTATTTAAGCGTTCAAGTATGATAATACAAATTAAGATAATGTAAACCATAGAATTTACATTCACAGCATCTAATTTAGGAGCTCAGTGATTTAATTATGATTAAATAATGATACTAGAAAACCTTTGAACATCTTTACCGAGTATTTTAAGGAGGATCTTTCCAAGGGACGAATTCCAGCACACGTAAATGAAAGAGATCGTCAGTTCTTATGCTTGTATACGATGGTTCTACTGTCAGAACCGAATGCATCATTCAAGCTCATTGAAAGACCCCGAATTAATGCGTAAATGCCGAAATGTTCAAGTTTATTACTTAAATTCAACACTGCATCGGTTATTCATCAAAATAAACTACTTCACACTTTTGGTTAATCATTTAGAGTAGATCAAATTGTTTATGAACTTGTTGAAAACTTAAAAATGTATTTTTTTCGTTAGAATGCGCTCGCGTAAAAATCCTTCTTCCGTTTCTATGGAAATATGCCGAAAGACGCAAAAAGGTTATAGTCAAAGAAGTTCAAATTAAAAATCATATTATGCCTCAGAAATCCATATTCAAAAAATTATTTTAAAAAATATTAAATATGTGTTGAATTATGTTTTAATAATGGATTTAGAGCATATACCGACGAAAGTTGGGCCGAATTCGCAGTAATGTGTTGCAAAGGTAGCAATATGTAAACAAGGTAGTATTTGGACTTCCAAACAAAATAGCAATTCACTATAACTATAGCAATAGCCGGTAAAGCAAAAGAATAAATGATAGTTCATCACTATGGCAAATAAGTAACTTTTGAAAACTGTAACACGATACCAAATATAATACTATTCATACATTTTCTCGACCAACACCATGAGACTGTGGAATGTTTACACATTGTCTTGTTAGGTATTTCAATTATTTAAAAGTTATTTGCACAATAAGATAGGGCAAAGAATGCATGTTCTTTTGCGTTGGTATAATAAACATACTCCCGATTTTACGGAGAAATCATACATGTATTTCTAATGCAATTTTCCATTTATTTTCTATTTCCTTTTGATGGCAGTCGATTCAAAATGAAATCATTTACTTTATCATTAGTAAACGTTTAGTATAAGAAGTGACAAAGAAATTTGCAACAATAATTTCATTGTTAAAACATTGAAAACACGTTCATTTGATACATCATTATAAAAGAAAATGTTGGCGGATTCGTTGCTTTATTTGTCAAGCGAATGTAACAATCAACCTTTTATCAAATTTATGTATAAAGGATAAGAGAAAAAAATCATTAATTTAATAATCAAAAAATACACAATGAATCGATTTTACGAAGAATGCAAGATTAAATAATTAATTAGACTCAGAAAAATCCTAAGAAATAATCCGTATACATATCTCTATTTACTTATAGTAATACAAAATAGTTCGGCCAATATTTCCTAGTATGAATTAGAAAATCCTGGCATAATGCTTAGAAAAATATTTTCTTCGTACTACATATGCATTAGAAAAATTGATAGGAACCCTAAAGTCCACATGAAAGAAGGGGAAAAAACAAAACGGTTGTATGAATTTCCAGCAGTTTATGTGATGAGGTTACATAATACTTAGATAGTTCGAAATTCATATTTTTTTTGTTAATTTATTAAGTGTTCTAAAAGGGACTTCACTTATGTTTCGTTTTACATGACGGGGCTAGAATTTTATTTCACAAAATATTTGTATAATTTTATGTAGGACTGGGTCAATAACATGTGTCATTCGCTCAATCCATTTTTCCAGGAACTGTTGCTACTGTATATGTTGTGGAGGATGAGCGTTCAACGTGTTTCAAAAAATCAAATCCGCGCAAAAACTATTTTTGTTTAACTTAATTCTGAGTATGTGTCTTTGTCTTTTTGATATAGTTTTCCGTTTAAAGCGCCCCAGTTGATATAATTATGTAAGAATTTTTTAAGTTTCAAGCGAAATGACATCGGTAGAGTTCCATTACTAATAATGCATTTCCTTTTGTCAATTAAATGTTATATTATTTCAGTTGTTTCAATTGTGGACAATAATAATAATAATAATAATAATAATAATAATAATAATAATAATAAACAAGCAAAAAGAGAGACAATTTCTAAAAAAAGCTTGAAGCTTTCTTCTCAGTCATTTTAGCATTTGAGTGTACTTATATTGCTTATATATATATGTGTGTTTGATTGTAATTATATATTGCTATATATTTAATAGTTGTATATACAAACAAATAAAAAAGAAAACCAAGAAAGAATAAATATAAAAAGAAAAAAAAAACAGCTCTTATAAACAGTATGTTAAAACAGAATTCATATAAATAGTACACTTATACCGATACATTAATAGTACATAAAACAGTATATAAATATAACATAAAAAACAAATGAGAGATAAATATTTAAAGAAAATTCTTGCGATTAATTTGACACATAAGAACAATAAAAAATGGGGGAGAAAAAGTTTTATTTGTATATTTTTTTATAATGTTTTATGTTGTATTTTCTTCAGAGAAGTGCGCATATCGTAACAAGAGTTCATTTAGAATTTAGGGAAAAAAATAACAACAACAAAAAAACCATCAAAGTTTGTATACACGAGATCTTTACACGAAGTGAAAGCGCATATAAATGCCGGCACACATTCTTTGTTTTGACAGTTTTTTTTATACAAAACCTATCATCTGATAAAATAACAGAACAGAACAGATAAAACAATATTTACCGACTATATTATCATACAAAATGATACAATATTTCTTTAAATAGTCAAAAGTTATTTATCATGTAAACATCAGAAAATTGTCATAAATATTGATGTGTTAAAAATTAAAATATGATATACATGTACGCATGTATGTATATTCCTCCATAACTTATAAGAGAATTTTCGACAAATTAAAAATATTTTTCGTTTCCTCATTGCAACGAAATATTAACATAAGATAAAAAAAACGAAACAAAAAACAAAAACGAGACTAAAAACAAAATGACTTTTCATACAAAAAACTAATTTCAAAGTGAAATAAAATTCCAAATAAATTCGTATATCCAAAATGTATTCAAACTTTAAAAAAATGCGCACTGATTTAACCATAATGTGTGTCAAAGCAAAAAAGCATAGAAATAAACATAAATAAATATATATCTACAAAGAAATATATTTATAAATACCTTTAGACTCTTCTGATCCCGACAACAGTTTCAATAATGAGGCAGCGGCGGCTCTCCTTTCTTGGTGAAGTGTCGCTCCACAATATGAATTATGATTATTAAGGTAATGAAATAAAATCAATATTTAGCCGGCAACCAGATAGGTTCCCAGCGTTAGAGTCGCGAAAAAAAAAAACTGCCACGTATATCTATAAAAGCGAATCACGAAATATAAACTTGTTAGCAATCGATATTTTCAACATGTAACCACACACCTTGAAAAAACAATGGTGCGAAATTATCAGCAAACCCTTATGGGAAACCTAGCACCTGCTTTGACCATTCCAACACATCTGGGTTTGTTTTATCTTTGGCACAAACATATAGCATGTTAAATTTGAGGTAAAAAATGACCTGTTTTTTTCTGGGGTGAGGGATGGTGTTATTAAAGTTTCGGAGACTGGCAACTTTTTCAAACTTTAGTTTTCTCTAAAATTCAAAATGTAATAAAAAAATTAAAGCTATCAATCCTTGTAAATAGACACCAACAGTTCTTGGTTTTGTTCGTTAATGATGCCATATATAACCGCAATGCTATCGTTAACAATTTACCAAACAAAACATTGGTTTGAGACGTTGTGTCTGGCTTTTTGTTGTAATAAGAGAAAGATAATTTCTCTTAAACGACTGCCACAAGCCTGAATTGTAATATTACAATTTTATTATAAGCCTAATTGTGCCAAATATCATTAACTATGTCGCTAGTCCAATTACGCCTTCTTATGAGTAAAAAGTACATGACAGGAAATAAAATGAACCTAGATATTTGCGTATTCTGCATAAAGAATGAAGAGGAGACAATTCTATGAAAAGCACATGTACTATTATGTATGAATTGAAAATTTTGAGCAAATCATAAAATAGGCTAATTGCAGGATGAATATAATACACCATAGAATGAATTAGAAAGAAAAAGAAAATATTTTGCCATGAGGTAGACTTAAAAACGTAGCGAAACATTTTTGTCTTTATCTAGTATATCAATTTATTTAAGACAAACGTTTACATGTAGTTCGCCAAAATGAGTAGAATTCTGTAAGACCCGTCTTTCGTTCTCGTCCTTTTCAATTATGTAAAAATATTGTGTTTGTTTTATTTGTATGAACATTATATACGCTTTTGGGAATAAACATGATTAAACCAATATTATATTATTACCCCTCACTTTTTTTGTAATATAAATTTCCCATAGACCAATGGGAGGTATTCTTACTGCTAATTCAAGTGTACCATGTGACAAAAAAGTGTGTGCTGTTACATAGGAAACAGCAATTTTTCACACAAAAAACTATAGAAACGGTGGAAATAAATAACAGAAAGGTAACAATATCATGATTCATCACTCGATAAAGTGTAACAGTATTTTCCTGGGGATGATATTTTTACTGTTACAAACCTATGTGTTATTTATATATTAGGTAACAGTACATATTAGAAAGAATATATATATATATAGTCTTTCTATATGCTATAATTTTCATATGGAGCATTATGGAATCAATTATTAATCAGTCATAATCCTGCACGTTAAGCCATTGTATTTATACATTTTTAGTTAACAAAATGTGCGGGTTAAAAGTGTACATATATTGATGAATGTAAAAGTGAATATAGCTATATATCTGCTGCTTATAAATTAATTATAAATTTATTGTTTGAATTTGAAAAGAAAGCATAGCTCTACATACTTCAAAAATACCGCTATGAACGTCATATGATTGTACATTTAGGCATGAAAATAGCACATTCAAGAAATGATTGCTTAACTTGAAATTAAGTACTCATCCGTAGTTGTTCCGCTATCGCTCCTGTTGAAGTTTCTCATTTCTATAGAACAGCACGGTGAAAATAGCATATACATAAGACCACCATAACAGCGTAATATTTTGTCCCGGAACATTTTATGGTAAAAAGACTTGTTGTTACATTGGTGCAAAGATTTGGAATAGAATACCATCTTATATCTGTTCTTCTAATTCTCTGACATCTTTTAAAAATAAATATAAAAACATATCTTGTAGATCAAATAAATACATTGATTATGTTATAAGACTTATCATGCATGTATATTTGTTAAAATATTTGAAAGTGAAAATTTATAAATTATATTTAATACCTAAAAGGAGATAGATAGATAGATAGATAGATAGATAGATAGATAGATAGATAGATAGATAGATAGGTAGATAGGTAGATAGGTAGATAGGTAGATAGGGGTAGGTAGGTAGGTAGGTAGGTAGGTAGGTAGGTAGGTAGGTAGGTAGGTAGGTAGGTAGGTAGGTAGGTAGGTAGGTAGGTAGGTAGGTAGGTAGGTAGGTAGGTAGGTAGGTAGGTAGGTAGGTAGGTAGGTAGGTAGGTAGGTAGGTAGGTAGGTAGGTAGGTAGGTAGGTAGGTAGGTAGGTAGGTAGGTAGGTAGGTAGGTAGGTAGGTAGGTAGGTAGGTAGGT